TGAGCCCCACATCAGGCTCTGCACTCAGCAGGGAGTCTGCTTAAGATTCTCCCTTTCCCTCTGCCCCCTCCCCCTGCTCTCTCTCTCTCTCAAATAAATAAAAGGAATGCATCTTTTAGTCCAGAATCTCTGTATGGTTAATTTCATGGATCAGCCTGGCTAGACCATAGTACGGAGGTAGTTGGTCAAACATTCTTCTAGATGTTGCTGTGAAGGCATTTTTGAGATTAATATTTAAGTCTGTAGACTTTTTTTTAAGATTTTATTTATTTGAGAGAGAGAGCGATAGAGCACAAGCAGGGGGAGTGGCAGAGGGAGAAGCAGACTCCCCGTGGAGCAGGGAGCCCGATGCGGGGCTCCATCCCAGGACCCTGAGACCATGACCTGAGCCGAAGGTAGATGCTTCACCAACTGAGCCAGCCAGGCACCTAAGTCTGTGTGGCCTTTGAGTAAAGCAGACGGCTCTGCACACAGGAGGTGGGCTCATCCCAACAGCTGGAGGCCTGAACAGGGAGGCTGGCCTCCCCCCATGCACCCAGGAGCTCTGGCCGTGGCCCGCAGCCTTAGCTCTGACATAGCAACTCTTGCCCCAGTCCCCAGCCTGCGGCCCTACCCTGCAGATTTGGGGCCTGCCAAGCCCCTGCAATTGATGAGCCAATTCCTTAAAATAAATCTCTCTCTCTCTCAATATATGTACATATTTATTTATATATACACACTCATCCTGTGGGCTCTATTTCTCTTGAGAGCCCTAATACAACCTATAAATATTCATGTGCCATATTTACCCTCATCAAAGACTTCCCAGTGCAAAAAAAAAAAAAAGAAAAAGAAAGCCTTAATATCATGCTGCACACAAACACTTAATTTGTGGCTGTTGGTCGTTCTTCCTCAGTCAACCAGAAGGCAGGGGTGATAAATTATTATCAGCATCAGCAGCACCGACTTCCCGCCCCGATGTGGCGGAGCCCTGGGCACTGGGTCCACGCCGTGTGGTTAAACCGCGCGGTTAGCAATCCTGGCTTTAGAGCCCGGAGCCAGCCTTAAATCATGTCTGCGCAGATACAAGGAGACGTTTTGTTCACTAATTCCTGACTATGAGACATTATATTAGAATTTTAAAAGAGAACCCACATACGCGGTAAAAACAAAATTCAAACGGTAACAAGTGATACCGAATGAAAAAGTCTCCTAATGAGAGCAGTTCAGAAGACAAGGGGGTGCCCAGGACACCTCCTTTTTCTTTTCTTTTCTTTTTTTTTTTTGGTTGGTCTCGGCCCCCCAGGTCCTGACACAGGGGTCTTGAAACCCTCGCCATCTCCCCAGGGGGCACGAGTAGCTTTCCTTCAACTGAGGTGGCTCTGGGTGGGCTCCCGGGTCACTCCTGGTGGGGACTGAGCCGTGATTGGAAGCTTGGAGTTTGCAGCCCACCCCTCCTTCCCCCCCATTCTCTCTCGAGAAAGTCTGAAAACAGACTTAGGGATCTACCATGTGGACATGATGGGGCCCCCATCAAAATCCCAGTAGTATGGGGTTTGGGGAGCTCCTAGCTGGGTGACACATGACACACGCCCCCGTCCCCCAGGGCAGAAGATCCCATACATCTTCACTGGCAAGTCATCTGCATCCATCCTTTATGATATCCTTTAATAAAAGGGTAAGGGTACGTGTTTCTCTGAGCTGCTCTAGCAGATTAATCGCAGCCGAGGAAGGGGGCGGTGGGAACCTCCCGTTTGCTGTATCAGATAGCAGCTGTGGGTGACCTGGGGACCCACTCACTTGCCATGGGTTCTGGAGTCGGGGGCAGTCTGGTGGGACCGGGTCCTTAACCTGTGGGCTCTGACAGTGTCTCCAGACAGATCGTGTCGGATTTACCTCGATCCTGGGGAAATCCTGGAATCAGCCACTTCCCCAGGGAGCCCTCCTTCCTTTTTCGTACAGCATGGCATTTAAAAGGCAAGAGCCAGATGCTAGGAGTGTTGTTAACGGGGTTATTATGGGTTGATCTGTATCCCTCCCAAAAGATATGTTTACATCCTAGGCCCCAATACCTCTGAATGTGACCTTATTTGGAGGTAGGGCCTTTGCAGATGTGATCAGTTACAACGAGGTCGTGCGGGATCAGGGTGGGTCCCAAACCAACAATCCGTGTCCTTGTAAGGCCAGGTGAACACGCAGCACACATCAACTGGACGTCTACTCGTATTTCCGTAAGATCTGTATGTATGGCAGACTGGGAGTCCACACTGACACATTCAGTTTCAATCCAACACCACAGAATTCTAATTGCCTCCCTTTCCGTGTTTGTAAACCCTTTCTCCAAGAGTGAAAATGCCAGCTCCCACTATCCACGATGCCACCCCACACTCGATCCCCCCACCCCCCGTATGTGACAGTCCGCCCTCCCATCCTCCCTCGCCCTGCGTCTGCCAGCCCTGCTCGGACACCCGCCCGGCCGTCCGGCCAGCCCCTCGCCTGCAGCGCCAAGCCAGGCCGCCCCGTCGGGGCCCCTTCTCAGCCCGTTGGGCTCCAACAGCAACCCACGCGGGATCGGACTGCTTGTTTTCAAACTTTGCATAAATAGTGTGCTGTGTCTCTTCTTCTGCAATCTGCTCTTTCCGCTAGACATTATGTGTGCAAGATTCCTACTGACGCATTTCCCTTTAGGTCCTGCACCGGCGCCGCTGTACGGCGTTTCGTAGGTGAGCCCGCCTCCGTTTACAGGCCTTGGTCGTTCGCAGGCTTCTGCTAGGACCTTCTCGTCCTGGTCTCCTGGCGTGCGCCCCGGCAGGGGTGTTTCTAGAGCCCATCTTTAGGGATGGAGTCGTCTCGTCCTAGAGCGTGGGCATCATCCCCTTCACTAGATAAAGCCAAAATGTTTCCCAAAGGGGCCTGCTGGTTCTCTCCTGGGACCCCACCAGCGGAGTGCGAGTGGAGTTTCTGCTGCTTCACCTCCTCGGTGACCCTGGGGCACTTGACCATTTACGTGTGCCTGCCGAGTGGTTTCACTGTCTGCACACTCCGGGCTGATGACTGGCATGGGCCGTCTCAGCCACTGTCCCCACCGCCTCCGAGGCGGGCGCCCCTCGCCACAGGGCGGACGGCTAGTGGCCCACCCCGAATCCATCTTTCCTTCTTCCCCGGTTCCTGCATCGTAACAGAGGTTAGGGCTGCAAGCACGGCAGCCAGCCCGGCCCCGCTTCCGACTCTCCTGTGACTCAGGTCTTGGCAACGAAACATAAGCAATGCTGATGTGTGGCATTTCCAAGTATGGGTCTCAAAACATCGGGCCTGGCTCTTCCCCCTTCTTGCCAGCCCAGAGTCCCACGTGACCACGATCTGGCTTCTAAAGCCACACAAATAATGCCGCCGATCTGCAGGGAGCCGAGCAGCGGGACCGAAGAGCCTGAGACCCTAGGTGACTGTAAGGAGCAGGGCCACCCGCTGCTCTGGACCGTTACCAGGGAAGCACACTTTACCCCAGAGCCAGTGCACCTCTGGGTTTTTTGGATGTGGAGTGTAGTCTTCACCCCAATATTTTCCACCGCCCGAACCCCCGACCCCCACCCCCAAGGGGCTGTGGGAATTCTCGGGGGACAAAGTCCCACGTGTCACCCTGTCCACACCAAGTGAAACGTGAAAGCCTGCACCCACATCCTCCCTGTGTGGGCATTTCTAGAACTCACAAATTCTTTCATTTTTCCCCCTTGGAATATTCCCAAGATGATTATGGAAGGAAAAAGGGGGGGGGCTGTTTCTTTGTGGCCTTTCTCCTTCTCCCCAGCCCCTCCTTGCTTTTCATGTACACTATATTTTCTAAAAAAACTGACACTGTCTTTCTATAATTAGCTCACCAAATGGTTAAACCAACACTGCGCCCCCTTCTGATTTCGTTCTGGAGAGTTGGGCAACGCTCTCCAGACCGTCCTTCACATCAAGAAAAATGTAGGCCATGTTGACAGACGGTGGCAGGTTGGAACCCAGGAGACGACAAGGTAGGACTCGCTGTTCATCCGGCTGGCTTTGTAAAAATGGCATAAAACGATCTCGTAGCACTGGTGACCGCATGCCACCAAATCACAGAGTTTGGTCAAATTGGTTTTATGCACTTGAGGTAAAAAAGAGCAAGGTGAACGTGTTCCTAGGTGGGCAGAGAGACAGACAGGGCTTGGAGAGTGTCTCTCCGCCAGAGAGCGTAGCCCTGAGCGTGGGCACCGAGGGCCAGAGCTGGTCCCAGGCGTTCATCTCCTCTCCCTTTCCCGCCCCTGGGGGCTCCAAAGTTTCTCTGTGGTGGCAGCACACAACACCCATGCGTTTGCTAAAATGAAACACTGAGGTATGTGCTACCGCGTCTATGCTGGGCCTAACCAAGTAACGGGGGGGCAGAGAGACGGGCCCCTGTCACAGAAGACACCCTGGGACGGCCAGGCCCCTCAGAGCCGTACCTGGTGTCCTCGCCACCTGCGCTGGGCTCCGAGCTGGAGCGGACGCGGGGCCCAGGGTGTCGTCCTGTAGCTGGACCTCAGCAGGACTCCTGGCTCTCCGTGTTTGTGCAGGGACACTGGCGCCGTCCTCAGCTTCGCACACGGGCCGGTTCTTTCTTGTTCATTCCGGTGAGTAGGAGGATGGCAGGTTTTGTAATGATGGCTGTTTTTCTTCCCTCCGGCCAGCAGTCTGGTCTTTAACCTGTGTCTCACCACCGCCGCGTGTCTGCCGGGCACTCAGCGCCCTGCCGATGCAATCCGCAAGCTTTACTTGCCCTTAAGAACCGATAATCTCGGGGCGCCTGGGCGGCTCAGTCGGTTAAGCGTCTGCCTTCGGCTCAGGTCACGATCCCGGGGTCCCGCATCGGGCTCCCTGCTCAGCGGGGAGTCGGCTTCTCCCTCCGCCTCTCCCCCTGGCTTGTGTTTTCTCTCTCGCTCACTCTCCCTCTCTCTCTCAAAAAAAAAGAACCAATAATCTCCCCAACAACCAAATTTTTACTCAAACTCTTTATACGATAATTTACTTTTATTACAAGTTTGTTTTTTCTGATTATTAACTAATACATGCTTGTTTTGGAAAATGCAGAAATACAGAAACGTATAAAGAAAATTAGAATCTCCCATAATTCCACCGCCAACCACGGCTAATTGCTCTGCACGTTCTACTCTTGAAACACTGAACCTTAGCGCACTGGAACTTCTCAAACCTAGCCAGAGGCGGTCTTTCTTCAAAGCCTTCGCGTCTTTTCCACAGAATAGAAAATGGGAACATATAACATAAAAAACATACTCAACCCGAATGAGGTTTCTTTACAAAGTCGTTTCTTATAAAATCTCCATTTTCTCAGATACCTAGGAGTCAGAGACTTGAATACAGACCCTCGAGCATTTAGTAAAAGAAGAAGAGTAGAAAGGGCAAGGGGCTCATCTCCAGATGCCCCCCCGGCTCCTCGTGCTGCTGGGGGCAGGGTGCCCGCCTTTCCTGCGAACTGGAGGTTTTTCAGTCTTCGGGGCTGGAGCGAGGCGGCGAGGGAGCACCTGGGAGGGGATCTGGGGTGAGGAGGAGGAGGGAGAGTTGGCCTCCCGGCCACCGCAGAAAGGCACCGAGCACGAGGGGGCCACAGGCAGCCAGCAGAGGGGAGAGACCGCGCCGCCAAAGACGCACAGGAAGCAGGGGTCGGGCAGCAGAGAACAGAGCCGGCCGGGGACCAGTCAGCAGGGGCCCTTCCACGCCCCACCCCTGCCCTGCTATCCCTCACCTCTTTCCGGGGGATCTCACCCAAGCGGGAGTCTGTGTTCCTTCTGGGGACAGTATCCCCTCGGCTGTCCGTCCTGCCACACCAATGGAGGGATGAGGATGGGGAGCTGCCCCCGCCCCGCCCCACTCCCCAATCCGTCTCTTGGGAGGACGAACAAACGAGACGGACCTGGGGATCAAACAGGAAGAGACACTGGCAGACTCGCTAGTGAGTTATACCAGGAGGTCACAGTCCTAGATTCGGAGGCCTGAGCCGCAGGGTAAAGAGGAGAAAACTAAGGCAGGAGGACATGAAGACACGGGGCTGGGGTTTACAGGTGAGATGGACACTAGAAAGGAAGAGACCAGAGAGGCGGGAGCAGCGAGGGACCGAGGAAGTGGAGACCATGGGCCCACTGCTCCCCGAGCTTCCGTCCCGGGGCAAGAACAACGGGTGCTTCCCGGCGGACCCGTGGGCCACACCCAGCCCGCTCCCCCCTGCCTGAGCCGGGCCACCGACCCCCGCCCTTCCGCCCATCCTCCCTGCCCTCCAGGCTGGTACCTGCCCTGTTCCTGCCTCTTCAGGTAGAGCAGCAGGTCCTCGGCAGGCAGCGCCCCCCAGCCCCGAGCCTGGTACAGTTTTAAGAGCTGAGACACATCCATCAGCTGCCCCGCGGGAGCCAGCCCGTCTCCACCTGAGAGGCGCGTCGGGAATGCCGGTCACCCTGGGGCCCCGGCGCCACCTCGCTGGGAACCCAGAAGGGCCTTCAGTCCCAGGTACCGGCTCCACACCCAAGACCTCCCCTGTCTACATTCTGGGAAGCCAGGGCCCACGTACCCCTCTCTGGGGAGCCACCGCTGGGAGCACTGCTCTGGGAGTGGCTTGAGAGAGGCTCGTGCACCCGGAAAAGACTGGACGCCATGGCTAGGGGCACTTTGGTTTTATGAACGGGGGGTGGGAGGTGTGGCACGTGCGGGGCTGCTTCCTCCCAAGACGGGCCAGCCAGCGGACCTAGCAAGAGGAAAGAGGTGCGAGAATCAGGAAACAGGGCCAGAGCCAAGGACACCCCATCACCCAGCCCTTGTTAGGCTTTACGACCTTTGCCAGCTCCCCGAGGTCTGCTCCGGACAACCAGCTCCCACCTTCCCCACGCCCGGCCCCAACCTTCTTCAGAGTTGGCCCTCACCAGACTTCGGGGGCAACAGATCAACAGAGGGGGCCTCGCTGTTCTGGGGTGCCGTCTCCAGCAGCTGCGGGGACAAGACAGTAAGGTTCCCGGAGGACCGGTCAGGAAAGAGACCTGGGTCTGGGAGGGAGGCAGAGGCCGGGGAAGTTCCAGAAGGGGCTTACGAGACAGGAATCAGACAGACTGGGACAGAAACTCCAGTCCTGAGAGGGGGTGCAGCCGCAGGAGGAGAAAATGAAGACGGGGAGAAGGAGGTGAGGAGGGACGGGTGGGCCCTCTCTTACCTGGTGCAAAAAATGCTTGAGGCCCTCGAGCTGGGAGGGGGCCGGCAGCCCCTGCTTGAGGAAGCTGTCCCCGTCGGACCCAGGATCTTCCTCAGGGAACGGCCGCTCCGGCCTGTGGTCAGGGTGGAAGTCCCCGGCTGGAAAGTGAAACGGGGCCGCGTGTGTGTCGTAGGGGAGGGGAGTTCTCCCCAAATCAAGCCCCCAGATGCCAGGGAAAGAGGCCTATTAAATACAGCAGGGGCATCCCAGCTGGGAGAAGTTTACAGCAGCTGGAGAGAGAAGGCACAGCTGAGTCTTGAGAAGTCTGCGCAGGAGGGGAAGGCTGTGCTACTGGGACTCTAAGCAAAGAAATCCCACCACAAACTCCCTAAAGAACAGAAAGCAACGTTCAGAATGGCTTGGGACTAAGAGACATGTTCGGGCCCTCGTTCTCTTTAACTGTAACTACATGATTTTTACAGTGAGAGTCGTGATGTAATCTGTCCCTCATTCTTCCCTGGCCCCGGGCTGTGAGGTCTGCACCACACAGAGCGCCGCCGTCCACCCAAGTCCCCGCTGACCGAGCCAGGAAACAGCCCTGCACCCAAGGAGCGCTCACCGACCCATCAGAGCGCCTCTCCTCGAACCGGACACCAATGTCTCTCTACGGCTGTCCACACCACCGGCTGGAGCCAGTGTCCCAGCTGGCCAAACCCACGTGCCAGCCGAGGTGAGGACAGCAAGCACCTGAGAGCGCGCGCTGGGCTACCAGGGAAAGGAGCTGCGCAGGGAGGGGCGGTGGTAAGAGGCCGCACGGCCCCGAGGCCGGTTCTCATCACCCCAGTGACATCAGACTCCCATGAGCTCCCACTCCCTTTATTCGAACCCTGCTCCTTGGACCTTCTGGTCACTGACACGTCTGGGAAACTAACTGCTTGAGCCCCACACAGAGAGGAGGTAACAGGGAGCCCAGGAGCGCGTACGCGGGGAACCCCAGTGACGTGCGTCCCCGGTTACCCGAGGATGAGGTGAGGCCCAGCTTCGGCTCCAGGGGCTGGAAGGAGTGCTGGCTCTGGAAAGGGGGCCCCAGCAGGAGGCTGAGGTCTGGGGAGGGGCTGCAGAGGACAGGTGGGGCTCCAAGCGCCTCATCCCCCGCTTCCCGGCTCTGCTGCAGGACGGGCTTCAGGGCCACGGCCATGGGAGGCAGAGTCCACAGCCTCCGCTCCCCCTTCTCTGGCTCCTGAGGCCCAGGGCTGGAGGGCCTGGAGGTAGGAACCTGGGCACACGAGAGGCAGAGAGAGGATCATGCTCTGTGCACGTAAAGACCCGAGACAGGACGCAGACGCCTTGATGCCAAGTTTAAGGTGACAAGTGAGTAGAAAGTCCCAAGGAGGGGATCTGGTAACATCTACCATCTTCCATCCCACTTTATAATGCTTATTTTTGACCTCACGATTCCATCTCCAGAAGCTTGACAGATAGGCTTGCACAAGAACATCTGTGAATGATGTTTACGTCGGCTCTGTGCGTGGAAGCCGGACACAGAGGACGACTCTGATGTCCACGAATAAACACGGGGCCAAACGAGAAGCTGTGCGGCCACGCACGGGAGGCCACCCCTGGGGCCCAGAGCAAGCGGGGCAGGGGAGGACGGTGAGCACTTCCCACTGCACCCCTTTTCGAACCGTTGGGATTTCCTTTTTTACCACGTGCACGTTATTGTCTTTTCCAAAAAAGATTTTAGCTTAAAATAAAAACTGAAGAATCACGAGGAGGAAGTGGAAGGTGCCACCAGAATAAGGCAAGGGTGAGACTCCTCTAGGGCTGGGGGAGGAGAGCTGGGCCCCGCGGCTGGGGCCGGCCTGGGTGAGCACGGTGACCACGGCAGAAAGACTTCCTTCGATGAGGCGGTTCTTCAAGGAAGCACACGGGGTTGCGTCCCCCTAACGCGGGTGCTAGGACCGACCTCAGGACCAGCCGCGTTCGAGGGGTGATGCCTACCGGGGGGTTCGGAGGCAAGGTGGGGGCGCTGAGCAGCCGGTTGGCCTCCTCCCAGTGGGCGTGCAGCATGGCCTGGAGTCGCTCCACCAGCTCGGCCCGCTGCTCCTCCAGCTGCTGGTGGCCGCTCTGCAGGTCACGCACGCGCGCCTGCTCCCGGGCCAGTCTGCGGAGGGCGGGAGGGGGAGACAGCAGAGGGGAGGGCGGCCTCTGAGGCAGCAGGCCTCTGCGACTATGCAAGGGGCGGGGGCCACTGCGGACGCGGACAGGCCCCCAGGCCCGGGTTGGGCTCCACGCGCGGGAAACGGACGGAGGCCTGAAGGGGCCGCCGCAGGGAGCTGCACCTGAGCTCGTAGTCCTGAGCCACCTGCTGCTGCCTTTCCTCTCGCTCTGCCAGTTCCACCTTGAACTGAGCCAGCTGAGTGGACAGTTCCTGCTGGTGTTGTCCATTCAGGTCCTGCAGCTGCTTCCTAGGAGGAGAGGGGTGAGGAAGGAGGGCTGAGTCTGGAGACCAAAGTCATCAAATGGTGAAGGGCCAGAAGGTGCCCCTGGTAGCGGGGCGAAAGCGCCCGGCCAAGGCACAGCGGGGTTCGGGAAGCAGGGAGGGCACAGAGCGGGTGTCTCGGAACCGGGTCCCCAGGGGCAGAGACCGAGGTGAGGACGTATGGGATCGTGGTTCACTGAAGCAGCATTTCCAGAAAACTACTGGTAGGGAAGAGGGGTTGCGGGCAGTGGGCCTGGGAGGGGCAGGAGAGGGGCAGCTCTGTGCCGTCCCCATCAAGGCAAGGGCGCTGGGGACTTGGACCTGAGGGCAGCCAGGAGGGAGCCCGTGGGCTGGAGGGACCCGAGAGGATCCGGAAAGTGCCGGGTACCTGTGATGCTCCCGCAGGGAGGCCGCCTGCTGCAGGCTGCTCTCCTGGGCCTGCGCCAGGCGCTCGCTCACCCGCTGCTCCAGCTGCAGGGCCATCTCTGACTGCAGCTGGATCCGCTGGCTCTCACACCGCGCCTGGGGGTGAAGGAGGGCGAGAGCTAACAGCTCCGTCTGCGCCTGATGCCTGCCCCAAGGACAGACGGAGGCTCCCATGCGGGACTCGGCGCGACTCGGCGCTTCACAGGCGCACGAAAGGAAAGGTGGCGCTGAACCAAAGAAATACATTTAGCCAACAGCAGTGGTAGACAGGAGGAGTCCATCTCTAGGACACGCAGCGGGCGTCCCCTGTCCCCTCCTCCCAAAGCAGGATGGGGCTGCGTCCGGCCTCTTCTTTCTCACCTCACAGGCCTTCTGCAGCTCACCGAAACCTGATTTCCCCCTCCCAGGCCTCCAAGACAAAGAGCTGAACTTCCAAGTCCCACAGTGCTGATTTCTCTTTGTCTTCTGAGGCCCCCTGCAACACCTGCCGCCCGCGTCGATCTCCTCCGGAAAAGCGCGCCTCCCTCACCCCTGCCTCGCCAGCCGCCAGCCCCGTGACCTCGTGCCCCCTGCTCCCTGGCCGCAGCCCCTGCTCTTGCTCCAAGTGCCCGGAGGGGCTGAACGCTTTCCTGGGTTCTGTCCTCATTCTACTCTCTGACCGCGTACTAACTAGCATTCCAGGTCCGGGGCACGGGTGCTTTGACACGTGTTTAATAAACACGGAGCATTTAGGCTATATTTTTTCTTACCGTTTATACCTTAAAGCACTTTTTTAAAAAATATTTTATTTATTTATTTGAGAGAGAGAATGAGATAGAGAGCATGAGGGGGGAAGGGTCCGAGGGAGAAGCAGACTCCCTGCTGAGCAGGGAGCCCGACGTGGGCCTCGATCCCGGGACTCCAGGATCATGACTCTTAACCAACTGAGCCACCCAGGCGCCCCTTAAAGCACTTTCCAAATCTCTCTCTTTAGCTGGACTTTAAGCCCACACACCCAGAAGCCTCCTGAGTAAGTGCACTTGGCTACCCCTCAAATAAAACACATTCAAAACTGAGCTCATTTGGTGTTTTACGCTCGAACGTTCTCCTGTTCTGTTTCTTGCCTTAGCTAATGGCACCACTCCCCACTGGAACGCCCACGCTACCTGAAACCCTGAGTCACCCCTGACCCCTCCTGCCTCCTTCCACCACCTTCCTTAGGGTCCTTCCTTCTACTTCCTTAACACCTCCCGATCTTACTCCTCCTACTCACGACTAGGGTACTTCAGTATTATCTCACGTCTACCTGATCCCCTGGTCCCTATTCTACCCGCCACCCTCTCTCACGTTGGCCACAGTAGATCCTCCACTTTGTGCCCGAGTGAGTATTCTAAAATACAAATGTGCTCAATTTTTTCCCTTGTTTGAAACCATCTGAATGCCCCCATTGCCTGAAGAACGAAGTTCTGGCTGCTTGAAATGGCCTACACGGCTACCCACCCACCCCTCTCTCCCATCATACTAAACTCTTCGTTATTACACCAATGCTTTTGTTTTTTAATTTTTAAAAATTGCGGTAAAAGAGACCACATAATGTAAAATTTACCTCCTTAACTACTTTTAAGAGTACAGTTGAATAGTTGTTAACCCTATTCACATTCCTGTGCAGGTCTCTAGGACTTTTCATCTTATAAAATTAAAACTCTATACCCACTGAACAGTCGCTCCCCATTTCCTCCCACTCCGGCCCCATTCTAACTTCTGCTTCCTGACATTGACTACTCTAGATAGCTCATTACTTAAATTCTTCTAGTGTGAAAGTTAATATATACTCCCTCTGAGCCGGCGACAGCACTTTAAGGAATCTATCCTATAGATTTATGTATAATGATGCTCACTGCAGCGCTACTTTTAATAGTGAAAAAACTGGCATCAGTGCACATTGCTCATCAGAAGGAAAATGCTTAAGAAAACTACGATTCACCCATTCACTGCGACATTATACAATTCTTCAAAATCACGGCGTACATCTGTCTACACGTAGTGGGAATACGGGACGTGGAAAGGTATTTATATTAAGAGGTAACAGTAACAAGTTGCAGCAAGTATGTATGTTTTTTTTAAAGCAGCCACCCACGGGGGCACCTGGGCGGCTCAGTCGGTTGAGTGTCCGACTCTTGGTTTCACCTCAGGTCATGATCTCAGGGTCCTGGGATCGAGTCCCACGACTGGCTCCATGCTCAGCCAGGAGTCTGCTTGAGATTTTCTCTCCCTCTGCCTTTCCCACTGCTCCCACCAGCTCGTTCACCCTCTCTCTCAAGGAAACAAATACATCTTTTTTTTTTTTAAGATTTTATTTATTTATTTGACAGAGAGACAGTGAGAGAGGGAACACAAGCAGGGGGAGTGGGAGAGGGAGAAGCAGGCTTCCCGCTGAGCAGGGAGCCCGACGCGGGGCTTGATCCCAGGACCCTGGGATCCTGACCTGAGCCGAAGGCAGACGCTTAACGACTGAGCCACCCAGGTGCCCCGGAAACAAATACATCTTAAATAATAAAGCAGTAACCCACAAACTCAAATGAAAAGATCCTGAAAGGACATACACAAAGGGGTGTGGTAAGGAAAGGTAACCAAGACTTTCTACTTCTGTATTATTCAAACTTGCCTTACAGATAACTTTTATAAATCTTAAAAGTATTTTTAAACTTCTTTGGGAACCACCCAACCATGTTGATGTTGGCTCCCTTCTTTGTCCATGATATTTACCTCCAATAAATTCACTTTGATTGAAATATGCATGTTATAATTTCTGAAGTAACCCCAAAACAAACAGAAACTTTAAAACTAGCTGACAAAAGAAAATGAGAAAAAAGTAATGAATCTAAAAGATGACAAGAAAGGAGAGAAAAATAAAGATTAAGTAGGTAAGACAAAATAAAATCTAAAGTTGAAACATAGATCCAACCATAAATAAATAAACTGAATATAAAAGAATTTGATGCTCCAATTAAGAGACAAATATATAAAGGCTGAAAGTAAAGATTACAAAAATATTTGCCAGGCAAGCTCTACTTTAAGGAAAAAGCTTAAAAGAATATTTTTAAAAAGGTTGGTGTAAATGCAGTAACATTATATTACTAAGCAACAAGAGATTCTAAGGTAAAAAGCCTGAAGAGATAAAGAGAGTCACCTCATATGGATAAAACATCCAATTTACCAGGAAAGATGTTATCAATTTTTAAATTTATATGCTCTTAACAACGGCCTTAAAATGTGTAAAGCAAAAATTGACAGACTACAGGAGAAATAGAAAAATCCAGTCAGTGAGATTTTAACAGAAAAAAAATCATTAAGGAAACAATGATTTAAATAGCACAATTACCAAACTAGACACACATACAAATAGACACATGAAAAACAACAATTCACCCAACAACTCACCCAATTCACCCAACAACTATAAGACACATATTTTCAAGCACACATGAGACACTTAGAAAAATGGACCATATATTAGAACAGAAACTAAGTATCAAAAAATTTCGGGCACGTGGGTGGCTCAGTTGGTTAAGCGACTGCCTTCGGCTCAGGTCATGATCCTGGAGTCCCGGGATCGAGTCCCACATCGGGCTCCCTGCTCAGCAGGGAGTCTGCTTCTCCCTCTGACCCTCTGCCCTCTCGTGCTCTTTGTCTCTCATTCTCTCTCTCTCAAATAAATAAATAAAATCTTAAAAAAAGAATTTCAAAGAATTTAAGTAACAAAAATACTATATTCTCTCATATTTACCAGAAACTCAGGAGTGATGGGGGCAGGGGCAGGGAGAGAGGAGCAGGGAGGTCCAGTCCAACAGACAAAATGTCAGCTGGTGAATCCAAGCATCATTCATTACACTATTCAAGCAACGCTTTGTTAAGATAGAAATATTTCAAAACAAAAAGTTGTGTGGAATACACATAAGCAATTTTTTAAAAGACCATGCTCTCTAATCACAAAATTAAGCTGTAAATCAATAATAATAAAAACAGAAGTAGAGGGGCGCGTGGGTGGCTCAGCAGTGAAGCATCTGCCTTCAGTTCAGGTCATGATCCCAGGATCCTGTGATCAAGGCCCGCATCGGGCTCCCTGCTCAGCGGGAGTCGGCTTCTCTCTTTGCCCCTCCCCCGGCTTTCTCTCTCTCTCTCTCTCTCGTACTCTCTTAAATCTCTAAAATCTCTTCTAATATCTAAAATCTTAAAAAAAAAATAAGTAGAGGGGCACCTGGGTGGCTCAGTTGGTTAAGTGGCTGACTCTTGATTTTGGCTCAGGTCATAGTCTCAGGGTCGTTTCAAACTAAACTAATTAAATAACCAAACACATACATATATATACATACATACACACACATGAGAGATTTTTCCACCAAGAAAAAGATCTCACATGGGAGGTCTGAGTTCAAAGAAAGCTAGAACAACAAAGAAAATAGTAAATTATGTGGATACCTCTAAATGAATATTGGCTTTACAGAACAATATTAATAAGGTCCTATGGTGGTTTTTTATTTAAAACAGAATTTAAAAACTGATGTCATGGAAAATGGCAGGGTAGAAAACTGCAAGAGTCAGTCCTTCTGCCAAAACATCCATTGAGATGGGGGAAAAATATCAAAAGCCACTATTTGGGAACTCTGGAACCTGAGCAGATACTTAAGCGAGCAGGAGAGCGCTTGATGAAGGCGGAGGCTGCTGGACTTTGGTACAAGAGCTGGGGATGTGAGCCTGCTTCCATCCCCCAGCCCTTGGCCCTCTGCAGCCACAGGAATGGTAGCCCGGGAAACTAGAGAGACTGGCTGAAGTGAGCGTGGGCAGTAAGGACCTTATCCTCCAAAAACATGGGACTGGGCGTTTTGGACAGTTTGGCAATTCCCTGAGGAACCAGAGCAAACAACCACCTTTGTTTTGGGCCCCTGCAGATGCTTCCCTGGTAGCATCAATCATAAGATTTAAAGACAGGGTGCCTGGGTGGCTCAGTTGGTTGAGCAACTGCCTTCGGCTCAGGTCATGATCCTGGAGTCTCTGGATCGAGTCCCGCATCGGGCTCCCTGCTCAGCGGGGAGTCTGCTTCTCCCTCTGACCCTAACCCCTCTCATGTGCTCTCTCCCATTCTCTCTCTCTCAAATAAATAAATAAAATCTTAAAAAAAAAGATTTAAAGAGACATATATACTCATTTGAGAGAAGAATTCAGACACTTAAGAAAATCTCTGTCAACTCACAGGCTAATCAAAGAGATAACAGAACAGAAATGTCAGTCACCACACACAACAAGAAACAGAGACTTTGCAAAAACAGTTTGAAAAAGTCACTATACAAATGGATGGCTGCAGGTATCAAAAAAAAAAAAAATCATAGCACATACCCTCCCCAGTGTCTATCACCCAGCCACCCCATCCCTCCCACCCCCCACCACTCCAGCAAAAAAAAAAAATCTAAGGAGAGAGAGAATATGATTTCCAGAATTACTACATTATAATAGTTAAGACGTCTAGTTCTCAACGACAAATTACAAAACACAGAAACAGGAAAATATGACTCATTCAAAGGAAAAAGAGAATTAGAGGCACCTGGCTTGCTCAGTTGGTACAGCATGCAACTCTTGATCTCAAGGTTATGAGTTCAAGACCCACGTTGGGTGTGGAGAGTACTGAAAAATAAAATCTTTAAAACAAAACAAAAAAAGGAAAAAGATTTGACAGAAATATTTCCTGTGGAAACCCAGACATTGGGATTCCTAATCAAAGACCTTAAATCAACAGTCTTAAATATGCTCAATGAACTATTTGGACAATAAACTAAATGAAATCAGAATAATGTATGAACAAATAGAAAACATCAATAGAGACAACAGAGACATAAATTATAAAAAAGAACCAAATAGAAATTCTGAAGCTATAAAGTACAATCGATGATATGAAAATTTCACTAGATACCACTACATACCCCCCTATTTCACTATATACCCCTATTGAAATAACCAAAATCCAGAACACTGACCACAACAAGTGTTGGAGAGAATGTGGAGCGACAGAAATGCTCATTCATTGCTGATGGGAAGGCAAAATGGTGCTACGACTCTGGAAGACACTGTGGTGGTTTCTGACAAAACAAAATGTACTCTTCCCATACAATGTAGCAACCACACTCCTTGGGTATTTACCGGAAGGAGTTAAAAACTCAGGTCCATACCAAAACCTGCACATGGCTGTTTACAAGCTTTATTCTCAACCGCCAGAAATTAGAAGCAACCAAGATGTCCTTCAGTCGGCACACAGATATATAAACTGTGGCACTCCAGACAGTGGAATATTATTCAGCACTAAAAAGAAACAAGCTAACAAGCCAAGAAAAGACGCAGAGAAACTTAAATGCATATTACCAAGTGAAAGAAGTGAGTCTAAAAAGGCTACATATTGTAGGATTCCAACTATATGACATTCTGGAAAAGGCAAAACTGTGGAGACAGTAAAAAGATCAGTGGTTGCCAGGGGTTAGAGGGGGGAAGGGATGAACAGGCCGTGCACAAAGGATTTTTAAGGCAGTAAAACTGAGTGTGACACTATAAAGGTGGATACATGTCATCATAAATTTGTCCAAACCCATAAAATGTACAACAGCAAGAGGGAACCCTAATGTAATCTATGGACTCTAGGTGATAATGATGTGTCGATATAGGTTCATCAATTGCAATGAACGTTCTACTCTGGTGGGAGATGTTGGTAATGGGGGCAGCTACGCATCTGTGGAGGTAGGGGGTATATGGGAAATCTCTGTACCTTCTGCTCACTTTTGCTCTGAACATAAGACTGCTCTAAATAATAAAGACTATTTTAAAAGTTTCACCAAAGGGGCTCAATGGCAGAGTTCGGCAGGAAGAAGAAAGGGCTAATGAACTTGGCAACAAGCAACAGAAATTATCCAATCCAATGAGCAACAGGAAAAAACAATCAAGAAAAATGAACAGAACCTGAGGGGCCTGTGGGACATCATACCAACGGATGCATTAGCAAAGTCCCAGAATGACAAGAGAGAAATAACAGGGAAAAAAAAATCCCAAAAAACAGCCAAAAACTTCCCAAATTTGATAAAAGACATAAATCTACCCATCCCCAAAACTCAACAATCTCTAAACAGAATAAACTCAAGGAGATCTACACTACGACACATCATAGTCATATTGTCAAAAGCCAAACACAGAGTGGGCTGCCTCGGTGGTTCAGTTGGTTAAGCGGCCTACTTTGATTTTGGCTCAGGTCATGATCTCAGGGGTCATGGGATTGAGCTTGCACTGGGCTCCAGCTCTGCGTCAGCTCCATGCTCAGCACAGAGTCTGCTTGTCTCTCTTCACCTGCTCCTCCCCTGGCTCATGTGCACACTCTCTCTCTCTCTCTCAAATGAATAAATAAAATCTTAAAAAAAAAAAAAAGCCAAACACAGAGAAAGGAGCAAGAGAGAAGCACCTGGTCACTTAGAGCGCCTACGTAAAAATAACTGCCAATTTCTCATCAGAAGTCAGAGAGGCCAGAAGGTGGTGGAATGACATATTTCAAGTGCTGAAAGAAAATCACCTGTCAAGTGAAACAAAAAACAAAAACCCTCAAGAAGGAAAAAGAGGGCGCCTGGGTGGCTCAGTTGGTTAGGCGGCTGCCTTCGGCTCGGGTCATGATCCTGGAGTCCCTGGATCGAGTCCTGCATCGGGCTCCCTGCTTGGCGGGGAGTCTGCTTCTCTCTCTGACCTTCCCCCCTCTCATGTGCTCTCTCTCTCAAATAAATAAAAAAAATCTTTAAAAAAAAAAAGAATGAAAAAGAAATTAAGCCATTCTCAGAAAAACAAAAGCTAAGAGCATTCATTTCTAGTAGACCTGACCTACCAAAAAATGCTGAAGGGAGTCCTGTAGGCCGAAATGAAATGAGATGAGACAGTAACCTGAAGCCATATGAAGAAATAAAGAACCCCAACAAAGGTTCCTCTGTAGGTAAATACAGAAGCCTGTGTTACCGTACTTTCAGTTTGTAACTCCTTTTTTCCTGTAGGATATAAAAGGCAGATGCACAAAACAGTACCAATAAATCTGCGTCAATAACACCATGAAAGTGGAGACACACAGATGTACAGGGACAGGGGCTACACGCTATTGAAACTAAAGTTAGTATTATTCAAACTAGGTGACCATTACTTTAAGACATTAATTGTAATCTCAAGGGGAATCCTTCAGAAAATACCTTTAAACATGTACAGAAAAGGAAAAATGAAGAGAATCAAAAATGGTGCATAAAATATTGATGAAATACCCCCCAAAAGGCAGTAATGGAGCAACTGAAAACCAGAAACAAGTAAGATGTATGGAAAACAAATAGTTAAATGGCAGAAATCAGTCCTTCGCCAGTAATTACTTTAAATGTAAATGGATTAAACTCTCCAGTTAAGAGGCAAGAATTGGCAGAATGGATTAAACAACGAAACAAAACATGATCCACTATATGTGGTCGACAAGAAACTCACTTCAGAGACAAAGACACAAAAGCCTCTTAAGTGAAAGGATGAAAAGAGCCCATGCAAATAGCACCCAAGAGAGCTAGGGTGGGGGCTAGATTATCATTAGACAAAATAGACTTTAAGCCAAAAAAAGGTTATATCAAGAAGACATAACAATATAAACATCTGTGTACCTAACAGAGCCCCAAAATATATGAAGACAAAATGGACAGACTTCTTGAAGGGAGGCATGGACAGTCCTACAGTAATAGCTGGAAACATCAACGCCTCCCTTTCAATAATGGATAGAACAATAAGGAAATCGACGACCTGAATTACACTAAAGTCAGGCACTGGCTCCAACAACGAAATGAACAGACAAAAATCCTTGCCTTCAAAAAACGCACAAGATTTTTAAAAGGTGCAGAATGTAGTATATCGGGAGAAAAATTCAAACAGGGAAGGGGAGCGGGGATTGTCAGAGGTTGCAGATCTCACTCAGTGGGGTTGGGAAAGACCTCACTGAGTCAAGAGTAGTTCTGTCCCTCAACTACCACCCATCACACTACTTGAAGAATGTGTGCGCTAGACAAACTCCCCCTCTAGCTGGTGGCTCCTCGTTGGCCAGGACAATTCCCCGCTCCCAGCACGGAGCTCCCACAGTGGGGCTGCTGAGTAGACTCCGTGAACCAACGCACACCCAGCAAGCACCAGTCCGGGGGGCTAAGGCAGCTTACGTGCCGATACGGAACTGTACTAACATCTCTACCCTCGGTCCTCCGCACGAAGTTAGTTTCCATGTGGTCAGTCCGCCAATTCCGCGGGTGAGGTGAAAAGAAAAAGGAGGGTGTTCTTCCCAACACTGGCCTCGCTAAACCAGAAACGGGGTGCGTCTCCTCACGTCCATCATTAATAAGGAAAGTCTCTCGGGCTGACTTGCTCTGGGAACCTCAACAACGTGCGCTTAACACACAATTCACACACACAGTAGTCCCCCCTCCACGGTTTTGCTTTGCGCAGGTTCAGCTATCCGTGGTCAACCGCGGCCCGGAGGCAGGCGAGCCCCCTTCTGATGTGCTGGTGGAGGGTCGGCAGCCTAACGCCGTGTGCTCACCTCCTTCATCGCCCCCCGCGGGCACCGCCCCATCTCTCACCCTCACCAGAAGACGGGTGGGCACATGACAGTAAGATGTGCTGCGCGAGAGACCGCATTCACGTAACTTTTATGACAGTCTGTTGCTCGAAGTGTTCAAGTTTAATACGAGTTATTGTTCATCTCCTACTGTGGCTATTTCATAAATTCACCTTCACTGTAGGCGCAGACGTACAGAAAACACGCAATACATACAGGGTTTAGTACTACGCGCGGTTTTGGGCACTCTATCCCCCGTGGATGAGGCAGAAGCCCTTAGGGGTAAAAATTCTGGGAAAAAATGGCAGTGTTGGCATGACTCCCAAAAGGTCCCCGGGTCTCAGACCTACTTGTCCTAACGAGGAGGGCAGCCTCGGGCACCTGCCGCCACCTGACCTGCACCAAGCTCATCTCCAGCTGCAGGGCGTCTCGCTCTCTCCGAGCCGTGTCCAGCTCCCCTTCCAGCCGCCGCACCTCCGACTGCACCAGCGTGAGCTGCTGCTGGGCCTCCCGCGCCACCTGCGCCTCCCTCTGGGTGTTCCCCTGGGAAAGGAAACCAAACTCAAGTGTGCGCCTCCGTTCCTGCCTCCTGGTCACCTCCGTCCCCCAAGCCATCGTTCCGCACCCGGAAACCCAAGCCGTTACTCTCCCTCTTCACAGCTGACTATCTGCTCGGCTCTGGGGAATCTCTCTTTCTGCCTTCCGGGTACTGGCTGCCCCCGGCCCTGCCTGCTGGCCCCACAGCCTCCACCTTGTCCCCCCCAGACGGGTCTTCACTCTGCAGCCCAGCGCCACCCCCCGCCACCCCATATTCTGACCTCCCATCTCATTCCGTCATTCTGCCCTTCAGCTGTTGCCCATTCCCCAACGGGACAGCCGCTCTCACCTTCTCCTTTTCCAGCTGAGCGTGCACCTCCTCCTGCAGGGCCCCGTGGCGCTCCTGCAGCTCGCGCTCTTGCTGGGCCCAGGCCTGCCGCTCTTCCTCCAGGGCCAGCTTCAGCGCCTCCAGCTGTCGATGCTCACTCAGCTGCCCAGCCCGAGCGTCATCCCGCTCTTCCTGCAGGGCCCGGCACCGCTGCTGCTCCAGCTCCAGGCTCAGGGTCAGAGCCTGCCTCTCCTCCTCCTGGAGCCCCAGGGAAAGCCAAGATCCTGAGCAAGCCCTCAAGAGAGCAGCAAGCTGCCCCCTTACCCCCATACGCTGCACCCGCTGAGAATTCTGCCTGCTAAAAAACAAGAGTCGACAAGCCCACAGGACTGTGACATGGTAAACAGGAGCGTCTGTTCCAGAATTCGGTACATCGGGGCTCAAATCGGTTTGCATCCCAGCTGTCACTCACTATGTGTTCATGTCTAGGGCCTACCTTGTGAGGATTCCAGTAAAAAGCGCACAGAAAGCAAATAGCACAGTGTCTAGCACATAGTAAGCACTCAATACACAACACCTGTCACTATCATCCTCAAAAGAAGCTTCAAAGAGTAGAAAATCCAGCCTCTGATCATGAACCAGCCGGCCAGCAACCATGACCGGCGCTGTTGGATCAAGCCTGTGAAGGGGCGCCTGGGTGGCTCAGTCGGTTAAGCGGCTGCCTTCGGCTTGGGTCGTGATCCCGGGGTCTTGGGATCAAGTCCCGCATCGGGCTCCTTGCTCGGCAGGGAGCCTGCTTCTCCCTCTCCCTCTGCCTGCCTGCCGCTCCCCCTGCTTGTGCTCTCTCTCTCTCTCTCTCTTCTGTGTCAAATAAATAAATAAAATTAAAAAAAAAAAAAAAAGCCTGTGAAGATGACAAGTAACAGCGTGCATGTCGCAAGCATGCATCATGCACACAACTGAGTTCCAGGCCTGGCTGCTAATTCATATGAGTAATCATCTTACCATTTCAGCAATAAGAAACCCGATTAAGTCTCACCCCATATACCTTTTCTGGCTCTGCCCTAGACCAGAGATCCCAAACCTGGCCCGATGCGGGGCTCGATCCCAGGACTCTGGATCATGACCTTAATGACTGAGCCACGCAGGCGCCCCTGCCCCCCCCCCCCCCCATGACCCATGATTCTAATGAGGCAATGATTTGCAGAGTCTCTCGAGCCAACTTGGCGGCTGAGCCCGGTCTGCAGAGGATCTAGTAGAACGAGTGTTCTAAGGGACACATTTGGGGAAACACTCCCCTAGGGCGGCTCCCACAACGCACCGATGGCCCACAGCCCCTGAATTAGTTAGCAGCCTCTAACGGAATGGACCGAGCCCGGCATTCTCACCAGCGTCTCTCTTTCCCGTTGCTGCAGTCTGGCACTTTCCTGCTCACGATTCAGGGCCTCCATGGCCTCGGAAAGGCTTTGCTCCAGGTGGGTCACTGTCTTTCAGGGACAGGGGAACACGGGACAGAGAAACAGAGGGGAATCCCTGCAGGTTATACTTCAGAAAGCTTCAGCGATAATAGACTAAAAGTGAAACCTAACTCAGTGACTTGGGGGCCTAAGAGAAGACTACGTGGTGTGGGGAAATCTGGGAAAACATGGATGATGCAAGTCTGGCAGCAAAAACAGTGAAGTGGGGGGGAAATGCGGAGAAGAACAGCCAGGCCGGTGACTCCTCGAGACTGAGCTCAATCTGTTAGGGACCCGGATTCGGAGCTATCTGGACTCCCTTCCCTCTATCGATCTGCGTGCCCTAGGCGCTCATGCCGTCCGATTCAGGTTGCCCACCTCCTGCTGCTTGCTTCTGGTGAGCTCGGCTGCCTGGCGTTCCTCCTGGAGCCCCCGAAGCACCTCTGCCCGCTCGGCCTCGTGACGGTTCCAGCCCTCCACCACTCGGGCCAGGGTCTCAGGAGAGGAAAGTCAAATGGAATTTCAAAGTAATTTTTTTGCCCTCTTTCTGCCCGCAGGGGTGGGGTCAACAGCCACCTTCTCCCAGGAGTCAGGAACCACCCCCCCCGCAAGCTCCTAGCGTGAACAAAGAAACGCTGGTAAGCCATCTCATTTTTACTATTCCTTGGTGCCCCCCACAAGGGACCCACCCGCATTCTGCTACCCTGGCACCTTGTCCAACTGTTCGATCATGGTATCTTTCTTGCGGTCAGCAGTCACAGCCACAACTAACTGCTGCTGAAGCTCTAGCACCCGGGTCTGTAGGGTCTGAATATGGCGCTCACAATGCTGGGAAGGAGGAGAAGAAGTCTGGGTGTTACTATCCCTAATTTGACCAAAGCATCAAACTTCCCAGCACCTCTTGGCGAAAATGGGCTGGAGACAGGGTGTGCAGGTCCCAGGAACAGAAGAGGTTTGGAGAAGAAGGATCAGGAACTCGGGAGCAGGAATCTTGAGGCCCAAGACCTCTACCAGCTCAGGAGACACGGGCTTAGCTTCCAGGCTATTCCATTTCCTGGATCTCTGGGGAGAAATTTCCACGGAACCTTCTGGCAGGAGACCAACAGCCCACACTTCACAGAGTGGGAGGTGACTCGTGCCTAAGCAGCTCACTGGGCAAAGTGAAGGTTGGCAAGGAGAACACGGCAAGGAGAAAGGAGAAAGCCTTTCATTCAGGCCCAGGCAGCTTCAAACAGACGAAGAGGTGGTTCCGAAAACGACAACACAACCAATGACTGTAACCTCTCCCCTGCCTAGTCCGCCTCTCTGCCCCTTTCAGATAAGCTGAGGTTTGCAGAAATAAAGTCCGTCGTATCACCAGTAGCTATAAAGCCTTCACACAAGCCAGCAAGGTGTGCTGTTCATTCACCGCACGCTTCTGGAACGTTTCCGTGTGCCAGGCACATTCCAGACAGTGCTGAACAAGATAAGGTCTGACCCTCATAGAGCTTAGATTTTAGAGGGGAGAAGCAGACAAGATATATCAGACTATGATAAGCTATTACCCGAGGGACCTGAATGCCCACCCGGAGGAGAGGTGTGCATCGCAGACAGGATGGTCAAAGTCGACCTCCCTGAAGAGCCATCTGAGCAAAGTCTCAGCTTACAGGCCCTCAACCCTCAGCCCTTCCCAGTACCCAGCCTATTTCTAATCTTTGCTGCTTTCAAAAGGAAGCCTTGGTGACTCACCTTGCGACGGGTGTGTTCGGAATCCAGTGCATCTCTCAGGCCCTGGAAATCCGGGGGATTGAGGGGGGGCCCCGGCCGAAGACTGGCATAGCGGGGAAACAACTCCTCCAGGGCTTGGGCTGAGCTAGATGGAGATAAGCCTTGCAGGGGCCGGGTGCTGAACAAAGCAGGCAGAGAATATCAGGGTGCGGAAAGCTTTCGAGAGCCCCTAGTCCAACTGTGACATTCTACAAACGAGGAAACAGGAACTCAGAAGGAGCAAGAGACTTGGCCAAAGTCACAGAGCTAGACAGCACTCAGGTTCTGTGATTCACTCCACAGTGCTCCTTCTTGTCTACCACACTCCCAGCAGTAAAAGTCTTAGCAGAAACAAGCCAACTCTTCTGGGGGAAGAAGGACTTCCTCTTCTCAAGGAAGAGGTGGGGAGAAAGCCAGGTACTAGCCAGCAGATGCCCACGGTCCTGAAGGAGTAAAGGGGACAGAAGCCAGGGAATAAGGATGAAAACTGAAAGCTAAGGAACAAGCACCTTAGGTCCCTGGGAGACAGAAAAGCAGGAAAGACAGAGCTCAGGCAGAGAACACTGCCTCTCCGAGAAGACAAGCCAGCCAGCTAGAAGAACCCCAAGGGGAACTCACTGAAGCAAGGTGGCTGTGCTGTCACTGTCAAAGGAGTCGTCTTCTCGTCTCTCTGAGCCAGGACCCGGAGTGAGGGGATCCCCTGCAGGCAGCCAGAGGGACCCCCACAGCCAGGGTCAGGTAAGGATAGGAACTCTGTCTCTTTGAAGACGAAGAGAGGAGAGGGCCTTTCCTTTCGACTTCACCCACTCCTCCAGCCCCTCTCCCAAAGAACTGGAGCCTTTCCTCCTGAACTCTCTTATCTTGGACGCCTTCCTTTCTCCGCCTTCTCCCACCCCTTAAATCTGGGTTTAACTCACGATAGGCCGTATCCCGGGAGTTTTGGAGCATGCTCTGGAGTTGACCCCGAACACTTTCCATCTCAAAGATATGCTTGGAACCATCCTAGAAAAAAGCAGCATGGAAATCAGATGCAACCTGAATGATCTTATGTTCTACACACTGCCAGGGTATGTGGCATCTGGTACCCCCTAAAACCCAAGAGTTTTTACTCCAGCACCTGGGACAGCCAAGAAAACTGGAACTGACCCAATGAGGGTTGAAACTCAAACGTCTACAGAAGCCAGGCACATAGTGTAAATAAATTAATTGGGCACATTAAGACAAGGCTGGTGAGGATCCTTTGCCAGCTAGAGAGGAAATACCTCAGCTAAAGACTGTAGAGTCCGTGGCTATCAGTTTTTCAAACTCTGGAAGACCTAACCAGTCTGCAACGCTAATAACCAACCTCTCTGTGACATGTGTAATCGCTTAGACCGCGTCTGAATGATTGACATGGCAAAGTGTAAACCATACAATCAAACTAGCTTTGGGCTGGAAGGAGCTTAGCAAATTTTGCTATCCTTAAGTGCCTAGTTCTCTCTTGAACTGAAGAAACCTTATCCTCGCTTAGTGCCCAAGTCCCAGTCAAAGCACAGCAACCTGTCCCTTGGTGCAGGTATCGCCACATTAGGAGTTCAGTCCAACAACAGGAGTTCAAATCTCAGCAATCTCTCTTTATTTTTTACGACCTCCCATTCCAAGACCCTAGAGGTACCCAAGACACTCCTCTCTCACCTTTTTCTTCAAGTTGTTCTCCAAGCCAACCGACAAGCTGTGACTCAGCTCTTGGGCCAAGCCATCTAACATCTCGTGGGGAGGGAGGGAGGTGGTGGGCAGATACAGCTGGGCTCGGGCGGTGGCCTCCGCCTGACGACTGAGATGCAAAGAAGCATAGAGCTGGGAGGTCACCTCAGAGGATACTTGGTTCAGCCCAGGGGCTTCTGATGTTTCACTCAGGAGATCCTCAGTCCGGAGAGGTGAACTGGGGCTGGTAGCTGATGTCGCCATGAGTACAAGCACCAGACAACTGCAGACAGCAGAAGTGGGAACTCCTGGTCCTGCTTTAGGAGATTCCAGGGGGGGAGGTGCACCGAGAAAGAAGATTTGGGGGAAAGGAGGAAGACTCCAAGCCAAGGATCCTTGGTGAGTGACGGTAGGGAGGCTTTCCGGTTAGAGGAAAGGTTTCCAGTGGTCCCAGAGGCCATGGGAGAGGGCAAAAGCATTTCCTTCCACGGCGCCTGCGACCGGTGGAAAAGGAGGGTACAGCAAGGAGGGGGTGGGGACAGAAGACCGAGGGGCGACAGTTTCCCTGGAGTGCTGAAGACCAACTTCTGGCACAGGCTTTTAAATTCTCGCACCCAGAACCTGCAAACTGAATCGTACCCAATCCAAGAGCGGCCTGGTTTCCCTCCAGCAGCCTTATTTGGCCCTCACGGGGCCCGGGTCTCAGGACCCTCACGCTCCCCACCTCCTCACGCCCGTCGCCATGCACCTGTTCCACCCACCGTCAACCCTCCTGGGTATCCCCTCCGACCGCTCCTGGCAAGAAAGCCATCGCAAGGCTCCTCAGGATCCCCCCCCCCCGCTCCGTGCTATCCCAAGAGAAACTCTGTGAACCCTCGGCCACCCCCTCAAAGTCGGCCGCCCTCCAGCCTAGCCCGAGATCCTCTACCCGGACCACCCCTGGCAACTCCTCGCCACACCGCCAGACCTCCGCCCCGCTCAGTTTGCCAAGGTGTGGCCCAGGGATTGTCCCCCTCCCCCGAGCCCCGGTCCGGGAGACCAAGGACCCGTACCCACCCACCCTCGCCGCCTTCCCCACACTCAAAAACCGTTGGCAGCCTCCCGCCCCCCGTCCGCAGCCCCGCCTCGCTCGCCTGGATGACGTCACCAGCCCAGCGCTCTCCCTCGCAGGCGCCCAGGCAGCTTCTGGAGCCCGGGAGCCCTAGACGCGCGTGCGCGGCGCCGGCGGCACGGACTGGCTGAGGGAGGCAGGGGGCGGAGTTATTGTCCCACCGCCGCAGTTTGAGGAGCCGGTGGGGCGGGGCTCCGAGGAAACCGGAAGTATCTAGTGACGGGCACCAGGAGCAGTTCCGGTGAGTCCGGGGGAGGGGTTCCTGCCGGGCTTGGGGAGTCAGGGACCGGGAACTGGAGCCCCCGGAGTGTGGGCGGTCGGGGAGCGAGGCTTAACGCTCTCTGCCCTGCAGATGACGGTTCACAACCTGTACCTGTTTGACCGGAATGGAGTGTGCCTTCATTACAGCGAGTGGCACCGCAAGAAGCAAGCGGGGATCCCCAAAGAAGAGGTGACGAGAGGGCCCCGCGCAGTCCGGGTGACCTCGCATCTCAAACGCACATGGTCCCAGCCCAGCCCTTCCTAGCCAAACCCCGTCTGGTTCCCACCCCTATCCCGTCTCCTTCAACAACCAAGAGCTAACTCTGTCCCTCTCCCTCCAGGAGTACAAGCTGATGTACGGGATGCTCTTCTCTATCCGCTCCTTTGTCAGCAAGATGTCCCCGCTAGACATGTACGCTGAGTCAGAGGGGATGCCGAGGGAAGGAGGGCTGGCCTTGGGAATTTGGGGGGCGGGGGAGACTTTGTGGAGTGGAAGAGACATTGCCCCCAACAGAGGGGAAGGAGACAGACAAAGAGAGGCTGAGTCTGGAGGGAGAGTGCTGGAGCTGGCCTGAGCGGCGAAGGGGAAGATCTGAAGGGGGAGAGGTTGGGTGCAGGGGCTAAACTGAGGAGTGGAGGTGGGAGGTGTCTTACTAAATCAGGCTCCTGTGAACGATGTTTAGGGAGTCGACCTAGACAGGATCAGAAGTATCTCAATGGAAGAGATTATGCTCCCATTACTTTTTTAAGATTTTAATTTATTTATTTAACAGAGAGAGAGACACAGCGAGAGAGGGAACACAAGCAGGGGGAGTGAGAGAGGGAGAAGCAGGCTTCCCATGGAGCAGGGAGCCCGATGCGGGGCTCGATCTCAGGACCCGGGGATCGTGACGTGAGCCGAAGGCAGACGCTTAACGACTGAGCCACCCAGGTGCCCCTATGCTCCCATTCCTTAATGTCCTCCTCATCTCTGCAGGAAGGACGGCTTCCTGGCCTTCCAAACTAGCCGTTACAAACTCCATTACTACGAGACGCCCACTGGGATCAAGGTTGTCATGAACACCGACTTGGGCGTCGGACCCATCCGAGACGTGCTGCATCATATCTACAGTGCGGTCAGTGCCAGCTCCCGGGACCCTTCCCTCCCCAAAAGCTCCTCCACAGCCATGGCCACTTAGAGCCTCAAGACTCCTTGAGCTTCCCTGCCCTAATTGTACTGTACCGTAGCCCTGTTGAAGTCAGGAGTTTTCTCAGGACTCTTTAGGTCCTGAAACACCACCACTTTCTCCTCAGGGAGGCTTGCCTCCCAGCCCTTGATCCTTGTGCATTCGCACACCCCTGAGGTCGCACTAGGTTTGGGGTTGAAAACAAGAAGTGTCCAAAGCCTGGCTCTAACACCCTTCCCCTCCATAGCTGTATGTGGAGCTGGTGGTGAAGAATCCCTTGTGCCCACTGGGCCAAACTGTGCAAAGTGAGCTCTTCCGCTCCCGGCTGGACTCCTACGTCCGCTCTCTGCCTTTCTTCTCTGCCCGGGCTGGCTGAAGGAAGCACCCTACCTCACTCCTCAGCAGAATCCCTGTCTGCCTGGGGCCCTTCCTAACCTGTTTCATATGAAGGCCCCCGCTGCATGCCCCTCTGCCCCCTCCTGTTGCCCAGCAGCCCTCCCAGGGCAGCAGCCTAAAGCCCACCCTGGTGCCCTCCCTGTCCGAGGAAGGAAGCCTCCAGGAATCTGTACACCTCCAAACCAGGCCGTCTGCAGTTTTATACCCTACCTGATGCTGCAAAAGTACAGAATAAACTTTTTGTCACCCTCTGCAGCCTAAGCGTGTTAGTTTGTCAGTTTGGGTGGTCCGTCGGGGTCCTACCCCACTCACAAAGGCATGAACCAGGGTGGCCACGTCCCGTGAGCCTGTAAAGAGGCTTTGTCCATTGGCTTCTCAACAGTGACAGATCTTACTCCACTCACAATGGGGTTACGTCCAGATAAACCCATCGTGAGTTGAAAATATAAGTCGAAAATGCATTTAATTCACCTGATCTACCAACCGTCATAGCTTAGCCTAGCCTACCTTAAATGTGCTCAGAATACTATATTAGTCCATGGTTGGGCAAAGTCATCTAACACGAAGCCTATTTTATAATAAAGTGTTGAATATGTCATGTGAATACTGTACTGAGAGTAAAAAAAATAAGTGTATCGGTGGTTTACACTCCGGATCCAGGGGCTTACTGGGGGCTGAGACTCCCTGCCACTGCCCAACATCAGGAGGTATCATACAGTATATTGCTAGACCAGGACAAAATTCAAAGTACGGTTTCTACTGAATGTCTATTGCTTTTGCACCATCAAAAAGATGAAAAAAAAATTGTAAGTCAAACCATAACTAGGGACCGTCTGCAATGACATTTTGGGGGCAGGGGGAGCTGTCCTGCATTTTGTCCTGGCGGCCACTCACGAGCTGCTGATAGCACATCTGCATCCCCAATCCCGGTTGTGACAGTCAAAAATGTCGCCAGACCTTGCCACATGACCCCCCAGGGGACAAAATAATCCCCCATTGAAAACCACGTTGCTGGAAGAAGGCCGAAGTGCTGCGGGTCCCAGGGGGTATGATAATCACCCTCCCAGGTTCTGCCCTCCCGGCTTCTCCAAACGCACAGACTATTCAAGCTGCGGAGCCTTCGGAGGCGGGGCTTATGCAGATGAGCGGCGTGTTTGGCTGGGAGGCGGGCGGTTTTATGCAGATGAGGGGGCGGTGCTTGCATGTTGATGATCTGGGCCCGCTGCCGACGCTGCTGGGAGCCTAGCTGTCCCGCTGCGGTTTGGGCTGAGGTGGCATCTCTCTTTCACCACCAGCCCTCGTCCCTAGGTCCCTATCCTCCGAGGACCGCCCTCGACCTTTGCCCTCACCCATTTCCCCCTCCTCCTCCCCGCGCCAGGGACCCCGTCTCCGAATATCTGCCCTCGTGCCGCCCCCCGCATTTCTCCCCTCCCGCCGCAAACCCCGCGACCTCCAGCAGCCCGCCCCCGCGGGCCCGATCCTGCCTGGCGGCTCCCGCCGCAGCCTGCTCAGCCTTCCCGCTCTCCCAGGGCTCGCGCCACTACACCCCCCCCACCCCCGCCGTCCGCGCCGGGGCTTCCCTGTTCCCAACTCCTCCCGCCCCCTCGAAGCCCCCTCTCCCGCCTTGGCCAGTTGGCATGCAGGTGTCTATCGCGTGTACCGAGCAGAACCTTCGCAGCCGGAGCAGTGAGGACCGTCTGTGTGGACCCCGGCCGGGCCCCGGGGGCGGTAGTGGCGGGCCGGTCGGCGGGGGGCATGGAAATCCTCCGAGGGAAGGAGGGTCCGGCCCCAAGGCCCGGGCCGCACTGGTCCCCCGACCCCCAGCGCCCGCTGGGTCCCTCCGAGAGAGCACCGGCAGAGGCACTGGCATGAAATACAGGTATGGGGGTGGCCAGGCAGCCCACCCCATCGGCTCCCCTTTCCTGACCCCTGAGGCTTCCTGGGATGCCGCCAGGACCCCCTCAATCTTCGCTAAGAAGGTCCTAGCTCATCCCATCTCTTCTTCCCATCACCGGGGTACTCTCTTACTTGGTCCCTCTCTTTGTATCCGTCCATACCCCTGACTAGGGGAAAATCAACTTTACCAAGGTTGACCGGTCGGGTCAGAGCCAGGTGGTGCTCCTGAGCTTCCCTCCTTATCCCCAGGGGGGACAGGGATGCACGGATCTCCAGGCTGGGGGCCCCCTCTGGGATGGAGTGTCCTTGGGTCTGTGTCCTGGGAAGGGGGGGAGGGGCAGGTGGGAAGGAAACGGCTTCTCACTCTGGCCAACTCAGGATGCCTGACCCAGATACTGCCCTCACCTGCCCCAAGGGCCAGGTCCCCTGCAACCTTTCTTGGTGGGGAGGGGAGTGGGGCTCTTGGAAGCATGGACCACATCTCTCAACCCCATGCTGAGGGACAGACAGGGGCCTGGTGGAGAAAGTAGACTGAATTGTAACCGACTTTCTCAGAGAACTGCTGGGCTCTCAGAACTTGCATAAGAGAGGGAGGGAGGGGCTCCTACTTGGGAGTGAGCCGAGGTTACTGATTGGACCTGACTCTTGTCACTTGAGAAATTTGATCTCTCCATGTGTTGCGTCTGATTGAGAAGCAGAGCCAACTACCTGGGTGAGGAGACTTCGGGAGGAGGGGGCTCTCTGGGTCAGAGACAGACTCCACAAGCCCACAGAAGTGGAGGGAGCCTACGGGGGAAGAGGGAAAACTGGCCTTTCCTGTCATACTCCCCACTCAGGTGTCCTACCTGCGTTTTGAGGGCCCATCTGCCTCCCCTGTCCAAGGACCCCTGCCTGCCTGAGTGCCTAAACCTGACTTGGTTTACCCACTCCCACCGCGGTGTCTGCCCTTCAGTAGAGCATTCTTTATCTGCGGGTCTGTTTCCACAAACTCATCACCATCGACCTGTCACATTCCTCCCTACCCCAAACTCCACGCATCCCAGCGATGACTCAAACACAGATGAGACCCCACCAGGAGAAACACAAACCAGGCAGCCAGCCACAGAGGCTCTGGATGTTGTCTCCAGAGTCACTTAGGCTCGGGGCGTAGTACTGCCCAACTCAGTAGGCCCACTGGGTCTAGTTCCTTTGGACTGAACTACCCGAGGGCTTCCGATTCTGGAAGGAGAGGAGCTGGGGGCTGATAATCTCTGTCCTTAATGGAGGCTCCACCCTTTCCTGCTGCTTCTGTATCCTGCAGGAACCTAGGAAAGTCTGGCCTTCGGGTCTCCTGTCTTGGCCTAGGTGAGTTAGAAAGCAGAGGACTTAAGGGAGGGGGCATTCGCGGCTTGCCGCCCCCCCCCCCCCCCCGCCCCATGGTGGTCACATGCCTGGCTTCTCTCTCGCAGGCACCTGGGTCACGTTTGGTTCTCAAATCTCGGACGAGGTATACGTGATGGGCCCTAGAAGCAGGGTGAGGGGGTGTGAGGGAACCAGAGAAGAGGGGAGTAGACACGGCGAGGGGTTTGGACAACAAGCACGGGGAATGGCGGGCCTGAGGCTGGAGGGTGGGGCCGGGGCCAAGGTGCAGGGGGGCTGCAGTGCAGACGGAGGTCGCTGGGGGCCAGTGCTTGATCTTCATCTCTGTCACCTCCCTAGACAGCAGAGGACGTGCTGACAGTGGCCTATGAGCACGGTGTAAACCTATTTGACACGGCTGAAGTCTACGCAGCGGGGAAGTAAGGACTGGGGTGAAAGAACCAAGTTTCATCTGGAAGGCTAAGAGAACATCGGGGCTTATTTTCCCTCTAGAGAACCCCGGGAACTCTGTGAACACGAAGTTCCAACCTTTCAGCCAATGGGCCCCCGACGCACTAGGGGAATTGAAGTCCCAACATCAGTCCCTCTTCAGTGTAGAGCCCAAAGGGCATTCTAGGCAGTCCAAATAAAATAAAGCCAACAAATCTATCCTGGGCATCAGTTATGTGTCGCAATGTGGGGATTACAAGGCTGAATTTTCACAGATCGCATACCCATGGCTTCACGCTGGGTCTTCCCAAACCTAGCCAAAACCTAGGATGACCTTCCCCCACCTCTTCTCCCATCTGGCAAACTCTCCCACTCATCTTCAAGACTTGGCCCAATGTCAGCTCCTCCAAGAAGACTTTGCCCAGCTCCCCAAGTTGGTCATCACCCACCTCAGCTCCCAAAGCACTTTGTACCGCCCTCCGACCCACCATCTGTCAATTACGGGTTTATATAGCCATGTTTGCTGCTCAACTGGGAGGCTCCTCCTTCCACGGAACTTGTCCATGTCACCTAAGTACCTACACAGAGCCTAGCCCAGAGCAGACACTGCTCGTAGGATGACAACACGCCCCCCCCCCCCCACAGCTCACGGTCAAAGCGGTTAAACCGAAAACACAGGGAGATATGAAAAGGAACAGGGAAACGTCGGTAACCATCCGCCATAACAATTTAAGACCTGTCACAGGTTAGCGCGTAATTAAGTGCCAAAGAATTGAGCCAGCAGGAGCTAAGGAAGGTGACAAGAAGGGCTGACCACAGACTGTGGCAACCAGAGAACATTTTCAATAAAATGAAGCAGAATCCAAGTGAAGCTTTGGAAGATGGGTGGGATTTTGCAGAGACTCAACGAAGGGGGACGGTTATGCAGATGGTTGGAACCAGAGCAGACAACGGGTGTCCTCCCAACCTCACTAGTCTGTCCCTGTCCCCTCATATTCTATCCCTTTGACACCCTGAACAAAGCTTGGTACGCAGTTGATGTACAATTGATATTTGCCCGATGAATGAAAAGTGTATGATCACACCCCAAGTTCTGGGAGTCTTTCTTAATTTTGTCCAGGATGAGGCTGACAGCCTAATGGGCTCCTGGTCTATGGTCTGCTTTACTAGAGAGGGAATGGGTTGAAGGGAAAGGTGGGGAGGAGGGGAAGGAACTGATCCACCTTGGAAGGGCCAGTGTTTCCGACATCATCTTTCTTCCCAGGGCTGAAAGAACCCTAGGCAACATACTCAAGAGCAAAGGATGGAGGTGAGACTGTGTTTGGAGGGGTTGCTGGGGAAATGGTCATCCCAAATCCCTTTTCTTGCTTCTCTCTCTTTTTTTCCAGGAGATCAAGCTATGTCATCACCACCAAGATTTTTGGGGGAGGACAGTAAGTGGCTGCCACACTCTATTTGGGGAGAGCTACAGAGAGCGTGTGAAGGTGCATGAGGGAGAGGTGTGGGTACGGCTGCCACCCCGGGTCTGCAGCCTGCCCCTGAGGACCCGTGCAATCCCAGTCCCTCGTGGCGCCAGGCCAGCCCTGTTCCCCTGTCTTTGTCACACCTCATCTTTGACTTCCCTTTTCCTGCAGGGCAGAAACCGAGCGAGGCCTGAGCCGCAAACACATCATCGAGGGTGAGAGTTAGGGGCTGGGAACAGTGGCTGGGTAGAGAAGCCAGAAGAGTTGGGAACGTCCTCTGAACCTTTGAGTTGGAGGCTCTGCATAGGGGAGCTGGGAGTTAGGCGGCCATGGCAAGGGGGTAATGTCTGAATCCTGAGCAAAGGGAAGCTGAAATACTTACCTTCCTCTCCCCCACCCCTCCCCCAGGCTTGCAAGGATCCCTGGAGCGCCTCCAGTTGGGATACGTGGACATCGTCTTCGCCAATCGCTCCGACCCCAATAGTCCCATGGAGGGTAAAAGCAGCACCCCCACCCTGGCCATCCTTCAAAACGGGACTTCCTCAAATCTCAGCAGGAAGCCAGTCCCTGCTCATGAGGCCTCCCAACCTCCACAGTGGAGGCTCAGATCCCAGGTCCTGGATGGGGGGGGGGGGAGGGGAAGAGCAGATACCAATCTCTCTGATTACACAGAGATGATGCCCGGGGTTCTTGGTGGGGCAGGCCGAGGCCCACAGATCTAGAGCCCTGGATGTCAGGGGTCTGACAGGGAGGTTCTCTCTCTCTCCCGTGTGCCTAGAGATTGTGCGAGCCATGACCTATGTCATTAACCAGGGCCTGGCCCTCTACTGGGGGACATCCCGGTGGGGAGCTGCAGAAATCATGGTGAGTGTGCCACCCCACTTCCTCCCGCTGTCCCACGACCGGTCCCCCCTTTTCACATGGCCACCCCAAAACCCACTCTACTGGAGGAGGGGGAGTGGAAGAAAGTGGGAAGAGTGCTCTGATTTCCGCCCCCCCCCCCGTCTCTCTCCGCCCCAACCCAGGAGGCCTACTCCATGGCCAGACAGTTCAATCTGATTCCTCCAGTGTGTGAGCAAGCCGAGCACCATCTGTTTCAGAGAGAGAAGGGGGAGATGCAGCTGCCAGAGCTCTACCACAAGATTGGTTCGCAGCCCCCATCCCTACCTTTCCCTTGGCCAGTCCGTCACCTAGATCCCCATCCCCACATCCAATCCTCTTGCCCTTAGGTGTTGGCTCGGTCACCTGGTCCCCTCTGGCCTGTGGCCTCATCACTAGCAAGTATGAGGGGCGAGTCCCAGAGACCTGCAGGGCCACCATCAAGGTGAGATCTGGGGGCTCAGGATGGCAGCACTGGGCCATCTGGGCAGATCCGGGTGGTGCTGATTCTCCTTGGCCTCCAGGGCTACCAGTGGCTCAAGGACAAAGTGCAGAGTGAGGGTGGCAAGAAGCAGCCACAAGCCAAAGTCATGGACCTTCTTCCCATGGCTCACCAGCTGGGCTGCACTGTGGCGCAGCTTGCTATTGGTGAGACACCGCCAGCCCTGGACCCTGCGGGGGTGGGGCTCACCTCCTGCCCAGACACCCCCAAACCCAAGACTGGTTTGTCCCTAGGGAGGACCCTCTTCCTCAGAAACACTCCTCAAGTGTGGGTGCTGAACTGTGGGTGTTCCCCTCAGTTCTCATTCTTCTCTCCTCTGACCCCAGCGTGGTGTCTCCGCAGCGAGGGTGTCAGCTCGGTCTTGCTGGGGGTGTCAAGTGCAGCGCAGCTGCTGGAACATCTGGGAGCCCTGCAGGTGAGCTGGGGACTCAGAGGCAGAGCCCATCTCTGCCCCCTTCCCCAGCTGTCCGACCCGGAATGGGCTTGGGAGGTCAGCCACTACAAAGTCCTCTCACTCCGCAGAGAGGTCCCGGGGCGACAAGGGGAGGCTCTTTTCCCGCCACCTGGCCCCGCTGCGCTGCTCCCCTCCCTGGCCCCCGAACCCCATGCCCTTCTTCGGCGAGCCAGCACGTACTGTCCCCTCCACCACCGCCTTCCCCTCCAGGTGCTGAGCCAGCTGACGCCGCAGACGGTGATGGAGATAGACGGGCTTCTGGGGAACAAGCCGCCTTCCAAGAAATAGTCCGTCGGGAGCGCAGGCACCCACACCCGGGCCGCCGCCGCCGCCGCCGCCGCCGCCTCCCTCCCGCCCCGGATCCCTCCACGCCGCGGCCGCAGCCAGGGGGGCCCCGCCCCCTAACGAGTCCCGGCTTCGAGTAGCGATGCGCATGAACAAAGCCATATTCCCCGCAGTGGGGCTCGAGAGGGAAAGTAGTGCGCCGTCCGCCTCCCTGCGCTCGCTCCTCCAGGCCTTCTTGCTAATCCCGGGCATGAACCACCGGGCCGGCTCCTCTCTGCCCCTTGGGCTCCCTCCCTTCTCTTCTTCCCCTAATCGCCGAGGCCCAGAGGAAGACAAAAAACAAAAACAAAAAACAGGGCAGATACAGGAAACTTGCACATTACCTCAAAAGTGGCCCTTGAGATGTCATCAAGGGATAATAACCTAATAAGGGAGTAGTGACGTCATCTGGGACAAAGGCACGGGGGCTCTTATTCTGTACAAAGGAAGCCAGGCTGGTCCTGGCAGGAAGTAAACGGTACCCTTTGAGGACCCTGCCTCCCAGCAGAAGGTGGAGGGGCGCTTAAATTAAAAAGTGTCAATACTTTGTTCTTGCAGAGAAGGGGGTGGGGGGCGGGGAATGCAGTGACACAGCACTGACGCAGGTAAAGGGAAGTGTGCTGGCAAAGCGATTGGGGCGGGCTTGGGGAAAAGCTGGGCTGTGCTTTGCAGGACACGGTGACAGCCTTTAGGTCATGGTGGAGACCTGGGGCTGGACTGAAAATGTCTGGGGATAGACTTTTGAGCCTGGAGCAGGATTTCCTACCTAGCAGTGGAGGGCTGCAGTCTTCCTCCTGGCAATAATCTTAAAGCAATAATGCCGGCCCCTCATCTGTAAGACTTCTCCCAGGGAACTGTAAATAAAATCTCAGCTTGATCCTCACTCCCGGTGTCTGAAATTGCAGGGGTTGGGAGGGTAGGACCTCAGTCTCAGATACCTGGCCCTCGTCTAGCTCCCTGCCATTAGAAAACTCCAGCGCTAGCTCTCTCTCCACTGACCAAGGCATCGTGCTGCCAATCACTGCCAGTCACCGCCCTCACTGAGGACCCAGGTCCCCGGATACCCCAGTCCCCGGTTTTCTTCCTTCCTTCCGTCACGGCATTCCCTCAGAGCCCAGAGATCTGGCTTCATAGTTTTGTTATTCCTCCCTCTGACCCTCTTGCCTTTGTTTTGCTTAAAGTTACACTAGCCACAGTTCTCGTTCCTGTGCTTCTCATTTCCCTTTTCCTGATACCCACATGTAGACCAAGGCACTCTCCGGGTGGTTTTGTTGTGGCTGCGTGGGAGGGGCTGATGCGAGGTTGAGGCGTTGGGATTTGGGGAAGGAGAGGTAAGATGAAAACTGGCCTATGGTGGAGATGATGCAGGGGTGGGGGGGGAGGGAAAGGGGTTATCATAAAGGAAAAAAGGGAAGCAGAAAAGCCGACTCAAATGTGATTATGTCGGATACGATCCCTAACCTTCCCCCAAAGGACTCTGATTTCCCTGAGACACAAAGTGGATGGAAAGTTACAACCTCTAAAGATCACAAGACAGGGGAGGATGCACGCTGCCTTCCTTAAAATACAACCCCCCCATCTCCCTTCGACTCATCCTCGCCCTTCCTCGATCCTGAAGCCGAGAAAGCAGCGAAAAACCAATTTCCAAAAAGAGAAAAGCCAGCAGCCTGCCATTTGCTGGCTAGCAACCAACCCGGATCAACTAATGAATAGTTACATCCACTCCTAACATCTCCCACTCGTTTTGCAAGACTGCGGAGGAAACAAGGAGGTAAAATATATGACTAAACGGTGGTTAGTTAGTCTGCAACAAACATACACGAATTCATAAATTCAAAATAGTATTCTCTTTAAATGGTTCTTTTGGAAGACTCCTCCTTTATTTTAATAGAAATGTCTCCCCCCTTGCTCAAAACGTTAAAAAGAAAAAAGTCCTCTTAGGAATTACCTTCAGAGGCTGTTTGTAAAGCCCTCGTAAGAAACCTTCGTTCATTGCCACACCTCGTTTACCGTATTTATCACCCACCTCATTCATTAACTTAACAAGTATTTATTTATCGAGTCCCACTATGGTACGGGGATACAGTGGTGAACAAAACCAGACTCAGAACAACCTTTGTGGAGTTTCCGGATGAAAAAAAGAAACAAACAACCAGCAAACAAACACAAGTTGCAGGTGTCCAAAGTCCAGAGACAAGCACGGGCTGCTACCAGAGTCCACAGTGGTACCTGAAAGGTGAGGCTGCACTCTGCGGTGAAGGATCAGCAGGTGTTAATAAGGTGAAAGCAAGAGGGCTAGGGGAAGCGTGCAGAAGGGAACATGCGCGCCACCCAAGTTCTCCAAAGCTAGAGGGTCCAAAGAGAGCATGGAAGCAGAATGGGAGACATGAGTAGTTCAGAACACACAAGACCTTATCGGGCACTTCGGAATATTATCTTTATCCTAAGGGCAATAGGAAACCGTCCATATCTGTTGTTACAACCCCCCCCCAAATTTGGTGGCTCGAAACAACTTTTTAAAATTTTATTTTTACCCCCATTATTCTGTGGTTTGGCTGGTTCCCCTGCTCTTTCCACCTGGGCTCACACGTGTGGCTGGACTGAGCGGGCAGGTCAGCTGAGCGGGAGTATCAGCGGCCTCACTGCTACATTTGGCCATTGGCTGGGACTCCTCAGTTCTCCATGTAGCCTCATCTCCTGGTAAGTTCCCTTACATAATAGACTCAGGGCAGGGATCCCAAGGGATGAAGGCAGAAGCTGCAAGGCCTCTGACAGACTGTGCCCCAGAACTCACACAATGTCACTTCTGCCACTTTCTATTAGTCACAGGAAGTCACGAGGTGAGCCCAGATTCCAGGAATAGGGAAACAGACCCCAATTTTTGACGGGAGAAGCAGCAAAGTCCCATGGCATAGGAATTCGGGGCTACTAAACTAAACTATCACCACATTAAAAGATTTTATTTTTGGGGGGGGGCGCCTGGGTGGCTCAGTTGGTTAAGCGACTGCCTTCGGCTCAGGTCACGATCCTGGAGTCCCAGGATCGAGTCCCGCATCGGGCTCCCTGCTCAGCGGGGAGTCTGCTTCTCCCTCTGACCCTCTTCCCTCTCGTGCTCTCTATCTCTCATTCTCTCTGTCTCAAATAAATAAAGTCTTTCAAAAAATTTAAAAAAAGATTTTATTTTTTTAAGATTTTATTTATTTATTTGACAGAGAGATACACAGCGAGAGAGGGAACACAAGCAGGGGGAATGGGAGAGAGAGAAGCAGGCTTCCCGCCGAGCAGGGAGCCTGATGCGGGGCTCGATCCCAGGACCCTGGAACCATGGCCTGAGCCGAAGGCAGACACCCAACGACTGAGCCACCCAGGCGCCCCTCGCATTAAATGATTTTAAACAGGAATGGAAATGGTTGTGGTAGGACGTGGCTGGGCTTGAGATCTGGAAAGATCACTGGTGATCTGGTGAAAAGGCTCCTACCAGGGTCTAAGCAAGAGATGGTGGCAGCCTGGACTGGGGTGGTGTACTGAAGATGGAGAAAAGTAGGTGGATCAGGGAGACATTTATTTAGGAGGCAAAATGAACAGGGCTTGCTGAGAAGTTGGTAAAGGAAGGTAACAATGGCGGGGGAAGAGGGGGTCAAGGATGACTGCTTTGGTTTCTGGAGGTGGGTAAAGAAAGAGGTGGGAGGGGCGCCTGGGGGGCTCAGTTGTTATGTGTCTGCCTTCGGCTCAGGTCATGGTCCCAGGGTCCTGGGATGGAGCCCCGCATCGGGCTCCCTGCTCCGCGGGGAGCCTGCTTCTCCCTCTCCCACTCCCCCTGCTGGTGTTCCCTCTCTCGCTGTGTCTCTCTCTGTCAAGTAAATAAATAAAATCTTAAAAAAAAAAAAAAAAAAGAAGGAAAGAAAGGGGTGGGAAACGCTGGAGGAGGTGCAGACTTGGGACAAGGGAGATCATCAGTTTGGGTTCCTGAAGACGAACAAGAGAGGAAGGTCTGGAGCTCAGAGAGGCTTTGGCTGTCAAACACTTTGGAAGCATTTATATAATCATATCTACCCTAAAAGTTTAAGATGTAATCACCAACCGAAGATATTAAAAGATGTGAGGATAGGGCGCCTGGGTGGCTCCGTCCGTTAAGTGTCTGCCTTCGGCTCGTGTCACGGTCTCATGGTCTCAGTGTCTCAGGGTCGTGGGATTGAGCCCTGAGTCAGGCTCCCTGCTCAGCGGGGAGTCTGCTTCTCCCTCTCCCTCTGCCCCTCCCTCTGCTCATTCTCTCTCTCAAATAAATAAATAAATAAATAATCTTAAAGTAAGTAAATAAAAGAAGATTTGAGGAGACCTCGGAGCAACATTCCAAAGAGAAGTTGCCAAAAAGTTTTGAATTATGACAGCATCGTTGGCATAAGTGGATAACTTCCCCCACGGGACCGTGAAGACAAAACAACTCAGAAGTTCTGAACTATCTGTTTCCGAACAACGGTATACCTCCTCACTAAAGATTATCCTTAAGGGTTGTAGCAATCTAGTTAAAAAACAAAACCAGCTCTACATTGCCTGTGAAAGCCAGCAAACGCCACGTGAGTAGAGAAGCCCACCTTGTATTGATCAAAAGAGACGGGTGTTGCAAATGTTGGGTATTGGGAAGTCAACAGAACATAGGCTGGGGGCACAGGATAAAAGCAGCTAACACGGCCTGTTTTCTGCGGGCCAGGCCCTATGCTAAACCCCTTGCATATATAAGCTCATTCAGTACTATATTACCCACATTGTATAAATGAGGAAACCAACCGGCCCCGTGAGGTTAGGTAACTTGCTCGGGGTGTCACAACTCCTGAGTGCTGGAGGCTAGGATCTGGTGGTCGAGTCTGCGCAGAACCTGGGCGACAGGTCCAGGAGCGGAGGGTGAGGAGGCAGCTGGAGGTGGGTGTGGTACCACGAGGTGGTACCACGTGGGCTGTGTGTTATGTCCTGTTTACCTGTGGGGCAAATCAGACCCCTGAGTCAGAGCTCAAGCTGGGCATGATTTGCTGAAACCATCATGGTGTGTGGGTGTCCAGGCCTGGCTACTCCGGAAGAAAAGGATTCCCAGCATTCCTGGGAGGAGGGCCATCCATGGCCCTGGCATCTAGGGGTCTCCATAAGGCTGAGATGTCAGCTGGGAGGTGAGCAGTTTGAGAATGAGTTTGGGAAGCTGGCCTTACCAGAACCCAGGGAGGGAGGGTATAATAATGCGAGTTAAGGGCTGCATCCGCGCCAGTGTCCAGAAGGCCACTGAAGATTGGGCAGAACGGGCAGTGCCATCGGCTTAGGCGGTCTGTCTGGGTGCGGCTGTGAACGGAGGGTGCACAATTAAACCAACAGCCCCGGCGGGCTGCGCAGTCCCGGGTCAGCGGGCGGCCGAGGGCTGGGGCGCTGCACGGGCCTGGAGATTTGCACACAGACGCAAGGAGCGCCAGCTCGGTGTTGGGGGAGGGGGGAGGAAGGAAGGCGCGGAGAGCGCGAGCGGCGGCGCGCCTCCCACCGGCCTCGGCCGCGCGGCCCCGGGGCCGCCCACCCCGCCCGGCCGGCGCTGGCATCCCCGGCTTCGCGCCTCCACCGCCCCCACGCGTGCCGCGGCGGGGAGCGGCCTGACGGCGGCGTGACGCCTCGAGGGGCGGGCCCTCGCTATTAAAAGGGGCCAGAGGCCGCGGCGCCCGCCCCAGGAGCCGAGCCAGGCACGAGGAGGGCCGGCCCGTTGCATCCACCGAGTCCGCGGCGGGAACCATGCAGCTCCTGGTGAGGGTGCCGTCTGTCCCGGAGCGGGGCGAGCTGGACTGCAGCATCTGCTACCGGCCCTTCAACCTCGCGGGCCGCGCGCCCCGCCGCCTGCCCGGGACGGCGCGCGCCCGCTGCGGCCACACGCTCTGCACCAAGTGCCTGCGCGAGCTGGCGGCGCGCGGCGACGGCGGCGGGGCGGCCGCGCGCGTGGTGCGCCTGCGCCGCGTCGTCACGTGCCCCTTCTGCCGCGCGCTCACGCCGCTCCCGCGCGGCGGGGTCATGGAGGTCTCCGTGGACCCGGACTTGTGGTCGCGGCTGGAGGAGAGGGCGCGGGCCGAGCGCAAGCCGGAGGAGGCCGGCGGTCCGGTGGCGGGAGGCGGCGATGCCGACGACGAAGAGGAGAGAGAGGAGGGGGCGGGACCCAGGAGCGCGGGCTGGCGCGCGCTCCGGCGGCTGTGGGAGCGGGTGCTGGCGCCCGCGCACCGCTGGCGGCGGCCGCTGCCTAGCAACGGTGAGGGGCCGCGGGGGGAGGCGGCGGGGTGGGGAAGGGTGCCCGGGATCGTGGCGGGGGGGGGCGGCCCGGGGGCGCCGGCCCGGCCCGGCCGCACCCTCCCGCTGACACTGATCCTCCCGGTTTCGCCCAGTGCTGTACTGTCCGGAGATAAAGGACCTGGCCCGCATGAGCCGCTGCACGCTGTGACCGCGGAGGCCAAAGCCGCGGCGGAAGGAAGGTGGGCGCTGCATTCTCGGGGCGCGCTGGAGTGCAGGGGTGAGGCCCAGGACACCCCGCACCCGTTCGGGGATTGGCGCTGCTGCGGGAGTTGAGCCTAGGGCAGGAGGGGCCGCCCTAGCGAATGGCCCCCGCACCCCGTGTACCGCCTGGGCCAGCCTCGCGTCCTCGGGGGAGAGGCCCCGGGATGGTGGCGACGGGTCCGCATTCCCGTGGGAAGGACAGAGAGTGTGTCCTTAGCTGTGACTTTGGCTTTTGTCCAGGGCAGCTCTGGCCAGTGGGAACAATAGGGCCCATTCTAGCAATTCTGTGTCAGTGGTTTGAAATTTCTTTAAAAGCTAGAGCGGAAGGGAAGAGGCCGATTTTGGTGTCACGTTACTGTCACTTCTGCGGCGTCTTAAGAGAGCTGAGAAAAATAAACGTGTTTTTCTTTTTTTTTCCAGTGCTGGTATGCCCGTCTCCCCAGACCGGTAGTGTGTTCCTAAAATTACTGAGATGCCTCCGTGCCTTACTTCCTTTCACAGTCTCCCCGTGAGGGCAGGTATCACAGGGTCCAGAGGGCATTCTTCTGAGCCACCTACTTAGGGCCCTCAGGGCTAGGAAAGCCATTTGGTAAAGGCATCGCATTTTAATCCTTTTGATATTATTTGTCATCTTTACAATCACAGGGAGAACACCGTCCCTACTGAAAAAAAGATGCGTATCATACAATTAGAATTACTTTTTTAAGAGCGAGCACTTGAGGGGTTGGGAGGGACGGGAGAGGGAGGAGGAGGAGCTCAGGCAGGCTCTCTGCTGAGCCCGGAGCCTGACTTGGGGCTCGCTCTCATGATCCTGACTGACATCATGACCAGAGGCTGAAACCAAGAGTCAGAAGCTTAACGCACTCAGGCGCCCCTTCTCATGCAGTTTTAAACTCGTGCCCCCTAATTGGACATCGCCTGGTGTATGCCGTGGATTGTTTTAAAATCCTGTGACTACCTGAGGATACGGTTACAGTCAGGAGCCGCAGCATCACTGGAATTACAAAATCTCAGGATCCCACTTCAGACTCTTGAGTTTTAGCAAGAACCCCAGGTGATCCGTAGGCACGTAAACGTCGAAGCAGCACTGATGGAGGTCCCAGACTTGCTAGGATGTCACCTTCCGTGGGGGGAATATTGAAAAGTTGGTACAAAGGATATACATTTTGTTGGAAGTTGTAAAGGGACATTCTGTTGCTGAAGCAATCTTTGTGTGGTTTAATTATTATGTGACGTTTCCCTGAGTTACAAATGTGAATTTATGAAATAGAAACCTGTTTTTATGACCGTATTTTGGCATTTTCCTGTGCTTGTCTCAGCTTAAATGTTTCCTCTTGCGGGAGGCCTTTCTCAGTGTTCCTCTGAGTGTAGCCCCCTCCCCCACAGGTGCTGTTCCAGAATGCCTTTGTTTTCCGAGAGGATGTGTTTTGTGAGTGTGAGGGAGGCAAGAACAGCGACTGCCTTGTGCGTGTTGTGTGTCCAGGCTGAACAGTAGTGGTTAACATGTACTGTGTACTCAATAAACGTTTGTTGGATTTAGCTTTTCTTTTTTGTTACGATCGCCTCAACAACGAAGCGTCTGGTCCCAACCCCTGACGTGTCAAGGAAGTATTGAGCAGTTCAAATCGTCAGCAAGCATGACTCCCCTCCCCCCTCCAACTTTAAAAAAAGCGGGGGGGGGGGGGGCGGAGCTCCGCTGCCTACTCGGGACTGCACCTGCGGAGCTGTACTGACCTCGGCTGACTCTTGGGGGGAACTAGGCAACTTGAAGGTGGGAAAGATGATCCAAAACGGATGAACGGGAGGCAGTTCAGAATCCTGCCGGGCACCCTCCCGCTTCACCTCTGTCCAGGAAGCCCTACCGGGTCTCTGATCTCAACCTGAGGACTGTGTGGGTATCCTGTGGCTCACCCTCCGTCTCTACACTGGGTTTCTCATGTGGGGGTTGGGGCTGGAGAAAGAGCCTGGGAGTTTTAGTTGATGATCCAAGAAAAAAAATAGGAAGTCACGAGTTTAAAAAAGAGAAAGATGGATGACGTGGAACGTCAGAAAGCAATACCCCTTGCCTTACCCCTCCCCCCCACCAGAGAACTCCCACTCAAAAATAACAGAGCACACAGAAAGGAAAGTATAATTTATATGTACAACCAATACACCTGATACAGAAGAGGGGGTTGGGACAGCCCAGGAGTGGGTGTGAAGAGCCTGGGAAAGGGGCAGCGAGAAAGTGAAGGGGCAGCGAAGAGGAAGTGGGGGGTTCGCCATGCAAACTGCCACTCTCCCCGGCCCTTCCTGGGGAGGAGGACATGCCCGTGTCTCCCCAGGCTGCCCTCCACTATTTTGTTCTGGTCCCAAAGGCAAGGCAGCCCCCCGACTACACCCCCTGCCTGATCCACTCAAATTCAGTCCGTATCTAGGCCTTCAGGAGGGAGGGTAGAAGTACTCCAAGAACCTGAGCCCCGGGTCTGGGGGCTCCCCCACTTCTGGCCTGTAGCATTTTCTCCCACCCTTTCTAGGTGACCCGGGTCCCTAGAACAGATTGGGGAGCTCCTCTTTGGCTTGAGGGAGTATCGCCCAACCATCACTCTCTTTGTGTGTGTGTGTGGGGGGGGGTCCCTGGTCCCTAGGGAGAGGAGAAGACCCCCCCCAACACAAGATGCCGGTACGCAGGAGGTAACTGAGCCAGTGAGTGGCGCCTTTATTCTGAGGCTGAACAGCAATCGACTCCCTCCCTTGTAACTGCTCCACCCTCCTTTTGGGGAGAGGTAGGGGAAGGAAACATGCAGCCCCCCCTCCTCTTCCCTTCCTCCCTCTCTGAAGTCCCCCTCCTCTCTTGCAAGCTCTTCTCCCCACCACAGTTCCTAAAGGCCAGGTGAGGCTAATCCCCCCACTTCTGTGGATGGAGCTTGTATTGCAGGAGTGAAGACAGGGGAGGCTCCACCTCTTTCCGCCCCCCCAACCACTTCTTGGGAAGCTGTGTACGTTCGGTGGGGGATGAAGATACTTGGAAGACCCTGCTTCACCGCCTCCCACCCAGACCTCTTCTCGCCAGCACGGTCTTCAAAGCGCGGTGGGAAAGGTGCACGGGAGTGGAGACAGACAAAGGGCCCTTCCTGAAGAGAGGAGTCGCAGAGAGGGGCAGAGTGGCTCCTAGCCCAGAGGCGGCCCAAGGGGTGGGGAAGGTGGAGGATTGGCAGCCGGTCCCAGAGCCTGAGCTGGGGGTCGGCCTCGGGCACGGGACCTGGGTGATGCGCAGGCCTGCGATCCGGTCAGTCGTCTATACAGATCACCTCCCCGGCTCGGGGCTCCTTCCGATCCAGCCCGTCTGACACCAGTGCCCCCACCATTTCCTTCTCCTTCTTCACCAGCACTGGAGGGCCGTTGGTGGTGGCTGTTTGGGAAGGGAGTGAGGAAGTGAACCCCGGCCTCACTCCCAAACGTGGCCTCCTGACTGGAGCGTGTTACTGCTAGGTTACCGCCTGCCGCTGCTAGTCAGTTCCCAGGGCAGCAGGGGTGGGAGCGGGGCGAACCCCTGTCCCCGAGAGACCCTGGTGCCCGCGACAGACCCCCCTGTGCCAACTCTCACCATACCCCCCCTTCTGATCTCCCGATTCTCTTTCCCGGAGGTAACCCAGATCGGGGAGGCTGGGGAAAGAGCTACCTGGCCCCAGAGCCACTAATGCCCTTGGTAAAGGGGGGTGGGGGTGGGGGTGGCGGTGGGCAGGGCCGAAGCTCGGAAGAGCAGGGGCGGGCCGTCACCAGCTGACCTGTGACGAAGGAGCCTGCTGGCATCTGGCTGTAGTTGGCGCCTGCGGCGGCCAGGGCCCCGGCGGGGGCGGCGCTGAAGGCCGCCCCGTACCCCGGAGGCGTAGCGTAGGGCCCCGGAGGGAAGGCCTGGAAGAGAGAGCGAGCCCCCGTGAGCGGCCCCACAGTCTGTGACAGCAGCTGTAGGGGCAACAGCGGCCACGCTCCAGAACGCCCAAGGGGGGGTCACATACAGGCAGGGAGACTCGAGGGTGAGGAGTGCGTCCCAGCAAGTCGTTTCTCCACACCGTCTAGAGCTGCCGGAAGCGTGTGTGTGGGGGCCGGAGAAGGGCCAGCAGGGACAACTGGAGTTAGCGGGAAAGAGGGTTACCGGTGTGGGGTGAGGCTCCGTGCCCTTGCTGGCCAGCCGGCTGAGGATGCTGCGCTCGGACATCTGCAGGCGGGCTGCGATGGGGGGTATTCGGGACAGCGTGGCCGGCAGGCGGGTCACGTCCGCCTTCATGTCGCTCAGCAACTCCTCCAGCTGGTTCAGAACTGGGGCCCGGGCCACGGAGAAAGAAGGGCAAGAGAAAGACAGGGAAAGGGAGAGATGGAGCCAGGAAACAGAGGAGACGAGGAGACAGAGGACCAGACACAGTCAGAAAGAGAGAGAGAGAGAGAGAGAGAGAGAGAGAGAGGGAGGGAGAGAGGGAGGGAGATGTCAAAGAACCAGAGGCCAAGAAAACGACAGAAGGAGACAGAAAAAGTGACTCGGGGAGGGGGAGGAAGAAGAGGAAGAAGAGTCAGAGACCAGATGGGCAGAGGACAGATGGAAGGAGAGAACAGCACACGGGAGGCGGGGGGACATTGGGAGACACGGGGCGGAGGGTTGTCAGAACATCCCATACTCCAAGGGGGACGTTTTGGGGGTGGGGATGGTGGGGAGGAAATAGGAGACGTGGGAGGCGGTAAGTGGTGTCACAGATTTCAGGAGTCAAGGTTTGCCTATGTGAGGGGGAGGGAGGTTAGAGGGTCAGCAACACAGACTCAGGGAATTCGAACAGGGATCCAAGGGGCCAGGAATCAGTCACCAGTCAGACAGGATTAGATGGTTAGAGGGCTCTGGAGTCGAATCTATCATCATCAGGCGAAGAGGGTTTGGGAGAAAGGGTTGGCGGTCAAAGGGAAGTCTCAGGGGGCAGGGTCACGGGGTGGGATGGGGGTGGGTAGTCTCTGCCTGGTGGGGCAAGCGAGACGGGGAGGGGGGGGCGGCGGACGGGATTCGTGGGATCGGGGGTAGGGATTCTGGGGGACTATACGCAGGCCACGGCCCCGGAGAGGGTGCTATTAGCAGTATGGCAGGCGTGTGGGTCAACGAAGAAGTTCCGCCCTGTGGAGGGGACGCGGCACAGTCTCACGGAGTCTGGGCAAGGGGGGCAGGGCCCTCTACTGGGCGCCGGTGTGAACGCTCTCAGGCACAGACGAGGGCCGGCTTGCACAAACCCAAGAGGCTAAAAACCACGGGGCGGCCGGGAGGGTCGGGGTAGGGGCAGAGGTCAGAGGGGGGTGGTTCACAGGGTAAAGGGGTCAGAGGGGTGGGAAGATTTTGAGGGGTGCGGGGTGAAGACTTACGCAGCGTTGTGGGCCCTCCCCCGCGCGGGGCCGCCGCGGCCCTTACCCTTGTGCAGGACGGCGTTGGCCGGCTTGTTCCCCGCCAGCGACTCCTTGGAGAGGTGCTGGTGGCTCTCGGCCAGGCACTCGGCCTCGGCGAAGCGGGCGTGGAGGGCCATGGCGGGGTGCGCCGGCTCCTGCGATAGGTTCAGGTAGGCCGCCCGCCGAAGCTGCTCCTCGATCACCAGCGCCTGCTCCAGGAGCTGAGGGCCCGGGCGGAGGGGGAGTGTGGGCATCTGCCAGCAGCGGGGCTAGCGGATGGGGGGCCGGGGGCAGCGCTGGAGACCCGCACCGCGCTCCCTGCCCGCCCAGAGCACCCCAGCCTCACACCCTACCGAGGGTGGGCCCGGCCCGGCCCCCGACGCACACCAGTCCCGGACACAAGGCCGCCCCCTGCTCTTGGCCTCAAGCACCGCTGTCACCCTCAAGGCGTCAGCCTTCCCCACATCCCGACCGCACCTGGTCCCCTCTCTGACCCAAGCCCCTCTTCAATGCTGTCCCTTCTCTCTCGGATCCCCACCTTGAATCTCCGGGCCAGGAACTTATTTTTCATCTCCAGAAAGTTCCCCTTATTGGCTTCAGTTTTAAACGGCTCATTGATGATGGCAAACTGAGCGTCATTCTGGATGTCCTGCCACCGGGCGTAGCCATGGCTGCAACGCAGGAAGGGGCCGTCAAGGAATTTAACGGGGAGGCGCTGCGTTACCCACACACACTTCCTCTTGGCCCCATCTCCCCAGAGTGGGGTACGACCCCCCCACTTCCCTGGGTGTGGACTCGTCCCCTCTCCAGGTTGAGAAAACCACTTTTTTCTTGCATTTGTATCTAAGGATACAGGACAATCCCGGCCAGAAGCCAATAGTCATGTCTTCGGTGCCAGATCTCATTGAGTTTCCCCGAGGAAATGGCTGCCCGTTCCTCATTCTGCCACAGCGTGTGAAGCTCTGAAAAGCGGGCCGGAGAGAGAGATGGGGCATCAGGAGTTTGGGAACCGTGGCCAACTCAACAGATGGGGCAGAGACGAGGGACCCGAGAGCGGGGAGAGGACCAAGGGCTCTTTAGGAGGAAGAGAGAAAGGTAGGTTCGCGGTGAGGAGCAAAAGCAGTTACAAACAAGGCTCAAGTTCAGACCAGGAATAAAGGGGAATTAAAGAGGGCTCTGGAGGGGCGCCTGGGGGGCTCAGTCGTTAAGCGTCTGCCTTCGGCTCAGGTCATGATCCCAGGGGCCTGGGATCGAGCCCCGCATCGGGCTCCCTGCTCAGCGGGGAGCCTGCTTCTCCCTCTCCCTCTGCTGCTCCCCCTGCTTGTGTTCCCTCTCTGTGCGTCTCTGTCAAATAAATAAATGAAATCTTAGAAATAAATAGATAAATAGAGCTCTGGAATTAGGAGTGCAGCCAAGGAGGACCGTAGGCGGGGACGCATGCCCGCCCCGCTGGGAGCGACTTGGCACGAAAGGCACCACACCACGAGAAGGCCCGGGAGGCTGAGCATATCCTAGTGAGGGGGCCCCCCACCTGTGAAGCCTCCGTCTGCGATATTGAACATGAACCGCGGCTTCTCCGCCTTCTCCTCGCGCCGCCCGTTGGGCCGCGGCTCGTCCCGAGGAGGCCCCGGCCGCAGCTCCCGCTCCCCTCTCGTGTCTTCTGCTAGGGGCAGATGGGGCAGAGGTCACCCCCATGTCCTGCACTGGCCTGGCCGGGAGCAAGGACCCCCCAGGACCCAGGCGTTGGCGTCCCCGGACTCCACCCCCCGATTCCCTCGGACCCGGGGCCCCCGTGTGTCCACCCATTACCTCTCTTGCCCAAATCCCCTGTTTCCCCCTCCGGCCTCTCCCTGTGCTCCTGTCCATCCAACGGCTTCTCCTCCCCCCTCTCTCCTGGCGTCGACTCTGTGGCTGTGGGAGGGGGTAGGGGACAGGAAGGGAGGATGTCACCCTCATCCCCTGACCCCGGAAGAGGGAGCCCCCAGAGTCTAAGCCCCCTTGTCACCCCTAAGCCCATGCACCCACCTGACTTCTCTCTGTCCCCCCGGTACCCAGGTTCAGGGTCCATTTCTCCAGGGACTCCTGGCACCTCCTCCTCTAGAGGAATCTTCCTTGGCTCCAGCCGCTCCCCAAGCGATGGGGCTGGGCTAGGGACATCGGCCTAGGAGGCAGGATGGAGTCAGGATGAAGCAGAGAGATCCCAGGCGCCCGGCCTTCACGCGCTCCCCTCTGCGGGAGCCCGGCAGCCACGTACCTCGGTCTCCGCCTTCTCCCCGGTTTTGCTGTTCTTCTCAGGCTTCTCCTCCTGGTTTTCCGCTTCATCCTTTTCAAGAGGTGTCCTCACACCATCTCCTTTCTCACTTGGAGCTGGAGTAGCTGCAGGGGGGAGGCAGAGTGAGGAGGCGGACACCCCCTCCCTGACTCCGATCCCTGCTTGCGGGGCACCGGCCCCCCATCCCCACCTCTCCTGCCGTCCTGACCCCCGTTACCAGGCTTAGAAGTACAAGGACTATTCGTAGCAGAAGCCTCCGGGGTGGTGGGAGACGTTTTGGTAGGAGAGGAGGCTCTGGAGGAGCGCTTAGAGTCGGCACTGGGGTCGGGCATCAGCTCGGGCATCGACCAGCGCCCATTGATGTGCTCAAATTCCTGTACCTGAGAGGAGCAAGGAGCGGTAGGGACGGGTCAGCTGCAGGCGCTGGACACGCAGGAAGTTCTCCTGCCAGTGTGAGTCCGGAACTCGGGGATGCCAGGCACAGGGGGGACGGGGCCTATGTGACCAGCTCGACTCTGCGTGAGGGACAGGCCGCTACCTTCTTCTTGACGAGAGACATCACTCCAATTCGGGTCAGCACTTGCTGGCGACTCAGGCCCTCCCGAGGGACACCGTCAGCAAAGGTTTCCGAGCCATCCGCCCCAGGCTCACAGAGGTGGCGCATGAACAGAGACACATAGGCCCTGAGAAGCGTGGGGTGGGATGCAGGTTAGGGGGCTCTCGGCGGGGAGGCAAGGTGGTGAGTGGGCGCACAGGGCTTACTGAAGTCCCGAAACCCTATACTGCCCGGAGGCCCCCCCCCCCCCGTCTCACCATGACCAGCCCTCCACATCCCCCCTCCCACCTCTGCCCCCCGTCTCTCCCCGGTCTCCTTGGCCTTGGTCCTTCCTTCCTTGGCCCCATCAGTCAGCTCGTCATCCCTTCCACCAGCTCCCCTGCTAGTAAATGTGAGGCGAGGCCAGCCCGGGGCCAGGCACCTGTCTCAGGCGCCTCTCCCATGGTGGGGTGGGGAGCCAGGCCTCTGTGCTCTAGGCTTGGCTGAGGGGAGGTGGAGCAGGCTGAGCCCACGCCCCAGGAAACCAAGCCGGAAAAGGCCGGGAGCGTGGTGGTCAGTTGAGTAAGGTCACATCATGTGGCGGCCGAGCGGAGGACGTGAACACCCCGGAGCTCCCACCCTTCCAGCCAGCTGGGTCAGGGGCACCACCCGCGCTCACTTGAACTCCTTCTCTGTCTTGCCCCTCAGGTCGCGCACCAGCCACTGAGTGGTGAAGGCGTCCTGCGGCGGCATCCCCCAGCGCATCACGGCGTTGAGGAAGGCCTTCCGCTGCCGGGTGTTGAATCCTAGCACCTGGGGGCCGGAGGGGAGGTAGGGGGCCATCAACATCCGGGGGGGGGGGGTCTCACTGCCGGGACCCCCCTCAGTGACTCAGCCCCGAGGCCCCACCCCCGAGGGGACACATGGGGACCTGGGGCCAGCTCCCACCTCAATGTTGCCTCCAACTCGAGCCAGCAGCGGAGGCAGCGGCTTATCCTTCTCGTTCCGGAGCTGCCTCTTTGACTGTCGACGCCCTGGGTGTGGGTGGGTGGTCTGGTTGGCGGGGGTGGGGGGGGGCCCACCTCCTCCACCCCACAGGCCTTCTCTACACCCCAGCCCCCGAGACGCAGAACCCAGGGAAGGCCTGGGTCACGTCTGAGGCACATCATCTAATTTTCTTTCGAGTGCTTTTCGACCTACCCACCGAGCAGGTCTAGAAGAAACAGGTCCCATTAAAGAACTAGCAGCCGGACCACCGGTGAGAACGTAAACGGTAACCTGCCTCGATTTTCCTTCTAGGCACCTCAGCCTCTACGATCCTATACCCCCGATTTTAACAGTGCAGAAATTACGAGCGTTTTGACCTTTTTATGCGCGACCTTTACTTAGTCAACGGAAAAGCACTCGTTTGTAGAAAAGCGAGATTTAAAGGACGCCAGGGGGTGAGCTGGGAAAAGCTACGGTAGGAAATCAGGGAAACAGGTGCCACCTTCTGGACGCTCATCAAAGTCTTCGTCTTCCTCCTCTGATCCCACTGAGTATTCAGACTGGTTGTCTGCAGGGAGAGGGCACCGGATCAGGGACGGCTCCCGGGATGAGCCCACGCTGGGCCCTTTCTGCCTGGAGGCCCCCCGCCCCCCGGACGCTGTCAGACTCTCGGGCCACATATCCTGAACGGGGTCCACGTGCCACGCCCCTGGTCCCCGGGCACCTCCCCACCCCTGCGCATCCCGCGCCAGGCGGGGACCCTGGGGGTCCTGCGGGCCCCTGCGGCCACCAGCTGGCTGAGACCGCCCGCAAGCCCACCTGGCCCCCGGGGCAGCTCGCGCAGACCCTTCCTAACCCCCTGCGCCTCCAGCAGGGGAGGCCCTGACTCCGACGCCTCCCTCTCTCCCTCAAAATGCGCCCCCCCCCCCCCCCCCCCGGGGCCTCCAGGCTCCTCTTCAGCACGCCTCCCTCCCCAGCCCCTCCCCCTGGGGCAGTTCTCACCCTGGTCCTCCTGAGCAGCATCGTTGTAGTTGACCTGCTTGCGAACCCGCTTGCCCTTGCCCAGATTGCGGGCCAGGTCTTCCTGCTGCTGCTCGTAGTGGTGCCTCAGGAGCTTCTCCCAGTAGTCGGGGTCCACGTTCTCCTCCTGCTTGATGATCTCCCGCTCGATCTCCTCGATCTGCGGGGCAGCACAACGCAAGCTCGCAGCCTCCCTCGCCGCCGCCCGGCGCTCACACCGCGACCACGTCCCTACCCTCCTGCCGCCCCGGGCCCCCCAACTCCGCGTGAACCCGTCTGGAAGCCGCATGTCTCCCTTGCCTCTCACCAGCAGCGAGCTTCTCCGCTCTGCTCCCTGCAGCTCCCCCGAAACTGTCCCCTAGCACCCTCTGTGTCCCTCCCGCCCTGACGCACTGGCACCCTGCTTGTCAGTACTCCCTCCGCCTAGGTTCTCCCCAGAGTCTGGCCTCACCCCTCGGACCGAGGAGCTGGGTCGCCTTTCGCTGGGGCGCCCCGGTAAGAGCTCCGGTGAAAAACGAGAGCGAAGGGGGATGCTTCCCCTTCAGGGCCACGGGCGCTGCCCTGCGGAGGTGGCCTGGGACAGCCCGCGTCCGGCCCCCGGCCTCTCACCTTGTCTTCCTCCCGCACCACGTACTGGGCCACCTTGAAGGAGCTGAGGTACTCGTTCATGTTCTGTACGTCCGTGTCCTCCGTCGCGTCCTGGTTCCGGTCCAACAGCCGCGCGATGGCCTCGTTGTCGTAGTGAATCACGCTGCTGTCTTCCTCTTTGTTCTCCCCTGGAGCAGACGGGAACGAGAGGGGGCTCAGTGTCCACCAGAGCCTCCGCTGGAGCTTGAGGAAGGTCCGAGGAAAGCCTTCTACTTCGCCCCCTTCTCACGGGAGCGCTGCGGGAGAAGGCCCTTCCCCGGGGAAGTCGGCGGGGACCTGCTCCGGCTCCCCGCCCCCCGCGCGGGGACGTGGGCCCCGACTACTGGCAGAGAGGGCCCCCCTTCCTCCCCACGGGCCGCACCGGAGAGATTTTCTTCGGGGGCTCCCGCAGGCGCGCGCACCCGGGAGAGCAGGGGCCTGCCTTCAGGAAGCCGCAGGGAAGGTTCTCACCCTCGTTCTCGTCCTTGAACAGCTCCTCGGTGCCGAATTTGAGGATGTCATCCAGCTCCTGCTTGGACATGGAGCCCGCCTTGGAGCCCAGCCCGGGCCGGACCACCAGGTGCGTCAGCATCATCTTCCTCTTGGCCACTTGCGTGATTCGCTCTTCCACGGACGCGCGAGTCACAAACCGGTAAATCATCACCTTGTTGGCCTGGCCGATGCGGTGAGCGCGGCTGAAGGCCTGTGGGGGCCGGAAGCAGAAGCGGGGATGGACCGGGGGAGTGGTGGGGGAGACGGGGCCCACGTGCTGGCGAAAAGGCTGCCGGCTAGAAAGGCTCTTCTACCCCCGCAGAGCTTCCTCTCTTACCCGGGACACGACCCCCTCTGCCGTGAGCCCACGTCTCCCTGCTAACGGGTGCGGGGGCTCCGAGAGGCGAGCTCTCACCTGGATGTCGTTATGGGGGTTCCAGTCAGAATCGAAGATGATGACCGTGTCGGCAGTGGCCAGATTGATGCCCAGGCCCCCGGCTCGGGTGGACAGCAGGAAGCAGAACTGCTGGGCCCCGGGAGCTAGGAGGGGAGAGCGAGATTCGGCAGGCGTGCTAGGGGGCCAACTCCTAGACCACCATGCCGCCAACACAGCAGCCAGGCGGCAGATACCCTCCCGTGCCGGTGGCTCGGGCCTTGCACGCCCAGCGGGGACCACGGCATCTCCTCCTCACCGTTGAACCGATCGATGGCCTCCTGCCTCAGGGCGCCCGTGATACCTCCATCGATACGCTCGTACTTGTAACCTTCGTAGTCTAAAAAGTCCTCTAGCAGGTCCAACATCTTGGTCATCTACGGCGGGACAGAAAGACAGAGTCTGGAACGACGAGGCAGCGGGCCGGGCCCGGCGCGTCCTGACCACCCCTTTACCGCCGCCGTCCCCCTCAGCCGTCACGCTGGCCCTGGAGCCCACTCCCTGGTGCTGCTCCCCCACCCCAGCCCCTCCTCGCCCCGCATTCTCGTCACACTCGCTTGACTGAGGATGCCTTCTCCTAAGGCAGAGGTTCTCCTCTGAGACCCACGAGAAGGTTTGAGGGACATCTACGAACGCCCTGAAAAGTCTGTACAGAATCGTCTAACTGTGTGGTTTCCTGGAGAGCAGACCCACAGCTTCCACCAGACTCCCAAGAGCTCCGTGCTCTCCTCTCCTCTCCCCTGCTTAAGAAACACTACAGGTCCCAGAGACGACCCTGAGCAGACACGGGCTCACCCACCCCTTGCTCCCTACTTGGCTTCCAAGAAGCTGGCCTGCAACTTGCAACGACCTTAGCTAGGAACAGGGGTCGGAAGCCGGACCAGAACCTCTCAAGAGTGCCACCTCCTAACCTCCCTCACCACGGCAGCCATGGGAACAAAGTAAGGGACTGGCCTGGGGGCCGACACAGAGCTACGGGCGCGGGTCACCTGCGAGAAGATGAGAACTCTGTGTCCCTGCTCCTTCAGCTTGCGTAGCATCTTCTGCAGGAGCATGAGCTTGCCAGATGCTTTAATAAGTGCCCCGCCCTCGTAGGCCCCACTGGGGAGTTTGGGGGACTCCTGCCACGAAGGGAGCAGAAAGGAGGAGTGGGTCAGGGAGCAGCACGCCCCTGTGTTCGCACCGAGCCCAGAAAGCCAGGAGCCCAAACCCAGCCTCCGCCCCTCGTAACTTCCCGCTCCCCTGCGCAATCCCGCCCCTGGCCCCCTGCCCGCCGCCCAGCTCCAGGCCTGCCTCGGCTCCCCCCCCCGCCACCCCGTTTTCAGACCGCAGCCTGTCGGCAGCCCCCAGCTGGTGCATCACCATAGCAGCCACGGGGAAGAGGTAGGGGTGGTTACAACACTTCTTCAGATCCATCATGATGTTGAGCAGAGACACCTGGTTCCCGCCACCTCGCGAATTCAAGGCCTCGAAGTTCCGAGTCAGGATGTACTTGTAGTATTTCCTGAAGACCAGGGTGGGGGCGCGGGAGAGACAAAGGGACCAGTGAGGAGGCTGCCCTGGGTCTCGGCTTCCCGGAAAGCTGCCCCCGGCCCCCAGTCCAGGTCGCCCGGCTCTCGCCTCACTTCTGCATGGGGCTCAGCTCCACCCGAACGATGAGCTCTGTCTTGGCTGGCATGTTCTTGAAGACATCAGCCTTGAGCCTCCGCAGCATGTGCGGCCCCAGCAAGTCGTGCAGTTTCTTAATCTGGTCTTCTTTGGATATGTCAGCAAACTCCTCCAGGAAGCCTTCCAGGTTGCTAGTAACCGGAAGGAGACAAGCAACTGAAGAACAGGCCACTGGGTTCTCTGTCCCTGGCCTCGGGCTCCCTTCTTCACTTAGAGGACTCCCCCTCCCGCTCCTGTTCTCAGCCCCTCCACAGACCCCCCTGGCGGGTCACTTACTTAAACCTCTCCGGGGTGAGGAAGTTCAGCAGGTGGAAGAGCTCCTCCAGATTATTCTGCAACGGAGTCCCTGTCAGCAGCAACTTATGATCTATCTTGTAGCCATTGAGGACCCTGAAAAACTAGAACATGGGGCAAGGGGAGGCAGGAGAGCGGGCCCGTTAGTCGCACGCGGCTGGACCACAGCGCCCGCCTTTTCCTGTTCCCTCTGGGATTAGAGGCCCTAAACCCCGAGTCCTCCCTCTCCCCCAACCTGCACTCCCCCCCGTTCCGGACTGCAGAAGGTCCGGAACGTTCCCTCGTAGAAGCGGGGCCAGAGTCGGTGGTCTGGGTATCTCACTCACCTTGGACTGGTTATTCTTGAGCCGATGGGCTTCATCCACCACGAGGCAGGCCCAGCGGATGGAGCCGAGTGCTGCCTGATCGATGGTGATCAGCTCATACGATGTCAGGAGAACGTGGAACTTCACCTGGGCCTCCCTCTGCCAACACAGCCACGGTCCGTGCTGTTGCCACACAAGCCCTGGGCACCCAGACTTCCACCCCGTTCTTTACCCGGACACCCCGTCCTGACTGGCGCCAGACACCCCATCCTGCTACGTGGGCTCTACGCAGGGATGACTGGACGTGGCCCCCAACCTCGACACCACGTCCGGGACGGACAGAAACGTATGTCTCCAGGACAGGAGGGCACGGGCGGGAGTAGGGGGCGGGAAGGAAGGAGAAAACTCAGAGCGTGGAACAAAGGAACTGACATCCCGCTGGGGGGCAGCGAAATAACGAATCTGGGGGGTCTCCAAGAAGACGAGGTCGAGGAGCCTACCTTCATCTTAAAGGCTTTCTTGCCACCTTTGATGGCATTGTCTTCGAAGGAAAACTCATTCTCGCGGATGATGGCCCGGCTGTCCTTGTCACCCGTGTACGTCACCACGTAGAACTTGGGTGCCCACATCTGGAACTCCCGCTCCCAGTTAATGATAGTAGAGAGGGGGGCACTCACCAGAAAGGGACCCTTTGTGTGGCCCTGGGAGTCAAGGGTGGGAGGGGGGCAGGCACCGTTAGTCGGGGCTGGAGGAGGTCGCCGCGGTCCTCTCGCTACCCCCCCCCCCCCCACGCCTCTCTGCCCTCAGCCTCCATCCACTCCCCCCTTCCCCAGTCCCGCAGGGTCCCCTGCAACCAGTACCTCCTTGTAGAGTGAGTAGAGGAAGACGATGGTCTGGATGGTCTTGCCCAGCCCCATCTCGTCAGCCAGGATGGTGTCAGTGCCCTGGGCCCACGAGAAGCGCAGCCAGTTCAAGCCCTCCAGCTGGTACATGTGCAGTGTGCCTCCCGTGGCCGTGATAAACCGCGGCTGGGTCTCGTATTTCACCGTGGGCTGCCGAGTCAAGAAGTCCGAACGCTCAAGGGGACGGTCAGGGCTCCTCCACCCCCCTCCCTGGCACTGAGATCAAGTTGGATCACGGTTCCCTCCACGAGGCCTGAGCTTATGGAGGTTCTAGACTTCAGTCCCTGCCCGTCACTCCTTAAAGCCAGACGCAGCAACAGCACCAGTGACGGCGTGAGGTAGGGAGCTGCAGGGGCGGGGGGTGGGGGGAGCCCTGGGGGCTACTGCTTTCAGCTGCTCTCTGGCCCTTTAGCCAGAGTTCCTAGCCACGCCTGGGGCAAGGCTGGACACTGCTTAGGGAGGTTGCTGAAACTCGGGGAAGTCCTGTCAGTGGCCCCGGGGCCATCTGCAATTGCCCCGGTTCTAGAATCAGGATTAGGGCTGAGAGAGAGGACGTACGTCGTTAGTAGGAGAACTGGGGGGCCCGTCGCCCTGCAGCTCCTTCTTCTTCTTCTTGTACTTGCGGGGCTGGGCGGGGTCCTCCCCCATAATCAGTTCTCTGGGAAAAGAGCGGGTCTGAGTGAGGACTGCTCCTCGGGACCTCGCTCTCTCCTGAACCCATTCCAGACCTACCCCCCACTCCCTTAAACTTAACTTTCTCACATTTCCTTTCTCCCAGGCTCTTTACCTTCACCCCTTGATTTTCGCCTCTAGAGCCAACCCTCCCCAGTCCTCAGCATGCCCTTTCCCCATGACCGGACCTGACGTCTGTTCCTCACGCGGCTTCTTTACCAGTCCCATCCCAGATAACCTAGCGCCGGCTGCCCCTACCACCGATTCCGGGTCGGGTCTGTCCCTACTGCACCTCCTCCACCCTGGAGGAGTGGCTTTCGCGCCCCCGTCCCCAGACTCCGTCTACCCCACGGCCTGGGGCCCCCACCGGTGTCTCCAGTAGCTCTGCTTATGGTCTTCGTATTCGGGGATGTTCATTTCATCTTCCTCCCATGTGGACTGGTCGTAGGGCAAGTCCCTCCATTTCACTAGGTAGTGGTAATTCCCCTTTTTATCCACACTGCGGGGCAGAAAACCGAGAAGGAACGAGAGAAAAATAACGCGGACCGCAAGCAGAAGGAGATCGTCATAAACGCAATTATCAGCCGACAGGTAGCCTTTTCACCTATTCCTCCATGGGGGGCCCCTGGGAGGGAATTGAGGATGGCCGAGGTACCCCCCTACCCTTTCCAGGACAGCTGCTTAGAAATCAACGATCAGAACACATCCTGGGCTCCGTCTAAACACACTTAGCTAAACACCCATTGGGCGTGAGGCCCCGTTCCAGGCGGGGGTGATTCAGCAGTGATGAGTGAAACAGACGACGGACCCCGTGCCCTCGGAGCTCACGTTTGGCTGCGGAAGGCAGAGGCGAACCACGGGAGCACACGCACGCAGAGGAACGTTCGGTGCTAACAAGTGCCCCGAAGAAAGAAGTACGACAGACACCGGCCTGGCTGAACACTGTTTCTCACGTTGGCCCTCAAGGCCCAACACCCAGCCTCGCATGTCGTCAGATCAGGGGCAGGGGTGAAGCGGTTGCGCGGGGCTGGACTCTCCGCCTGGTTTCTCTCCACCCCACTGGGGAGATGCGCCCCAACGGCTGGCTTGCAGCCAGAGGCCCACCTGTGGTTGATGATGCGGTGGACGGTCATCCACTCCGGCTTGATGCCAAAGCGATAGTACTTCTCCTCCATCTCCGCGTAGTGCGGGTCCTTCACCTTGCGCTTGTCACTCTTCCCGTCGTCCTCGCCGGAACCGTAGTCCAGGGGCGGGGGCTCATCCATGTCGTTCTTCCGCTGGTAGTTCCGGTACATGACCAAGTGGAAGATCTCCAACTGGTGGGGCACAGAGAAAAGGGAACGGGATGGTCCCAGCATCCCAAGAGGACCGAAGGCACAGGGGACAGGCCCCAGGGGGAGCAGCATGGGGAGGAGAGACGCCAAGCGGACTGGGCGAGCACGTAACAGGCTGAAGGAAGCAGAGAACACGGTGAGATTGAGGGCAGACTGCGGGTGAAGCGAAGGGAGGCTGGCGGAGAGAGGACAGAGGCCGGGAGACCCTCCTGCAGAGACTAACGACAGAGGAAGGGGTGTGAGAGCCGGAGGCGGGAAGCGAGGGCCGGCGAAGGGTCCGGAACAGCAGAGCCGGAGGGGTGAGTGAGAAGAGCAGGAGAGGGGGTCACAGAGAGCGGGAAGGAGGGGCCGTGTACCTGAAGCTCCTTGGCCCAGGAGCAGTGCCAGTAGGACAGTCCTACCCACTTGACAAAGAACTCTCGCTCCGATCGACCTTGAAGAGGGCGGGGTGGTGGGGCATCGGGGTTCCCGTCGGCCTGCTGGGGGGCTGGCACAGACACGGGGGGCTCCCCCCACCGCCAGTGCAGGATCTTCTGCACGCGGCCTTTCAGCACGGGGCACTTGGGGACAGGCGTGCACGAGGAGGAAGCAGAGGCAAAAAGAGCCACCGTTACAGGAGGACGACGACGGGCTCCCATGAGGGAGTCAAAGGCCAAGTGAAGGGGCAGGAGGGCAAGGAGGAGCCGGACGGCGGGACCCCAGAGACGGGAGGAGCCGGGGCTGAGAGGGAACGCGGCGGGAAGGGCCGACTCACCGTGCAGCGGGGACACAGCCACTCCCCGTTGGGGATGTCGGGCAGGGGCGGGTTGAGACAGTGGATGTGGTAGGAGGAGATGCACGCGTCGCAGCACAAGAGCTCGCCCCCGTCCTTGCACACGCGGCAGTACTCCATGTGGTCGTCTTCCTCCTCCTTCTCGCCTTCCTCCTCTCCCTCCTCCTCGTACTCCTCCTCCTCCTCCTTGGCCTCCCACTGCACCCCCTCCTTCTCCTGGGAGGGCCCAGGCCAGGCACAGGCGCGGATGGAAGGAAGGAGACGGGGCCGTGAGGCTGGGAGCCGGGACAGAGCCGGGACACCTAGCTCCCAGAAGCGCAGAGGAGGTGAGCGGGGAGGGAGGGACGGACCGCTCCGTCTCCAGACGCGGTGGGTGATGAGCGCGCAGAAGGATGCGGGAGAGGAGCCAGGGTCCCGGGTCCTCACGTGCCGGCCACTGACAAAGCCAGGCGTCGGGGGGGGGGGGGGGCAGGCAGAGGGCACCCGGGGGGGAGGAGGCAGGCGGGTGGGTCCCCGGGGGGTGCAGCAGGTACTCACGCAGTGGGGGCAGCTCCATTTGCCCTCGGGAGCCCGGTCCAGCTCAGGATCAAGGCAGACGAGGTGGTAGGCACGAGGGCAGGTGTCACACAGAATAATTTCCCCGCCCTGCTGGCACACCTCGCAGTAATCCTGGTGATCTGTCTCGTAGCCGTCAACCTCCTCCTCCCCGGCCACTGCGGGACAGCCCAGGACTGTCACGTACACCAGTGGAGGCGAAGGGCACAGAGAGAGAGAAAGAGAGGGGGGCGGGATGATGGGGGGGGGGAGAAGAGCCGAACAAAGCAGTCAGAGGGGGAAACAAGCGGTGCCCCCAAAGGGACGACAGGAGGCCAGACAGACAGGGTCGCGCCGGCCCCCCCTTACCCTTCCTCTTCTTCCGCCCTGGCCGGCCTCTCTTGAGCTTCTTGGTGCGGACAGGCCCGTCGGGCCGGCCCGAGGCGCTGTGGACGCTGCCGCTGTCCAGGTCTGACTCCTCGGCCTCCGGCTCAGGGCCCTCATCACTCTGCAAAACATACTGACCATAGCCCCGTGGCGGTCAGGGAGGCCGGCTTCGCTCCGCTCCCCGCCCCAGGCCTCTGACTCCTGCTGTAGCTTCCCGCACGGACCCCTGCGTCTGCACCCCCAGCCCTCCCCCCCGGGGGCGCTTAGCCGACGGGGAGGAGCCGCTCACCGAGCCTCCCTTCTTCCTCTTGCCACCCAACAACCCCAGTTTGATTTTGAGCGGCGCCATCTTCTTTCCCCGAAGCTTCTTGCGTCCGTCAGGCACTCGGGGGCTCTTACTCCGCCTTTTATGGCCCGGACCTGAAGGAGAGGGGTGAGGGGGGAAAAGGCAGACATCACGACGTCCTGGAATGACGGAGGTCACAGAGGCCTCTGGACCCTCCCGTGGGCTGTGGCTTCCCTGAGACCTCCTCCTGCAAAGCGTTTCCCCGACAGCAGTCGGGGCTGAGAAGACAAAACAGTTCTAGGCTCTGACTTGCGAACGGGTGGCTTGGAGGGCGGGGCGGCAGCGGTTCTAAGCAGAGGGTTTCTCACCTTTGCCCTCTTTGGTTTTGGCTCTTCGGATGGGTGGGGGCTGGGCATCGACAGGAGGCGGTGGGAGGGTGGGGGGTCCGGAAGGTGCTACGGGGGTGGCCGATGACACAGCAGCTGACACCTGCTCGGCCACTGCCGCGGCCGCCGCGGCTGCCGCAGCCGCCACAGCAGCCGCCGACCCCTTGAAGGGGTTGTTGGCACTGAACTCTCTCCACTTGGCCCCAAGGATGGTCATCATCTTGGACATCGGGATCTTAGGATTCTTCTTCGCAATCAGGGGCCTGGAAATACAGAAGCAGAAGACGCAGGACCCTCACAGATGGTCCGGGGACACTGCCGTGTCCCTCACGGGCGACATCTGTGTGCACTCGCGCTCCTGGGCCGTGAGGATCCGTCCCGGCAGGAACGACGGCACTTCAGAGGTAAACAAATACGAGGAGCGACGTAGAAAAAAAAAAACACAAAACAATAAGAAAGGAGAAAAAAAAACGTACACGCGCAGCAGATAAAAAAGGGAAAGACGAACAGGTCGGTAAACACGCTTTGAATCTTTTACAGTTTGTAAGATTCTTTGACGTGTGTCAGCAAGGCCTCGTTTCAACCTCGCGATGATACCACAGGACTCTCTGTGTTTTTCTAGTAAGTTCCACGGGCCCTGAGGAAGGGTCCCGGCACGTGGAGCCCGACAGGCCAGGCGGGTTCTGCTCTATGGCAGGGCGTTAAACTCTCGTGAGGACATGGGTGACTACGGTCCTCAGCAGTGAGGCAGGAGAGACAGGGTACCAGTGACAGGTACCGGGTACAGAACACTGGCCGGAGTGGGGGCGGGGGGCCAGGCCTCGAGCGCACCGCGCTCAACTCACCCCAGCAAATCCCCACGAGACCCCTAGGAGGGACACACCATGACTGCCTACTTTACAGATTCGTAAACCGAACAGCAAAGAAGTAATGTGCCCGAGACGGTACCAGGCCCGTGGCTCTGTAAAGTGCCTGCTCCCCCAAAAGGCAGCTCTGCTATGGCCTCCTCTACTCGGGGAGTCCCCGAAGCCCAGGCTCCACAGCCAATAGGGCGAGCGCCATTGCCACGGGGTCCTAAGCCAGAGACAGAGAGGACCTGATAACCGAGCAAAGGAAATTGGGCAACACTAATGTTCTCTGGGCGTCAGTGGAGAGAGAAGTCACGCAGGGGGAGCCGGAACGGTTGGAGCGGTGAGGGCCATCAGCCCTCGCGGTCTTCCGCCACTAGAGGTTTTGAACCCGGCGCTGGAGTTATGACCTCCCCCCGCCCCCTTCGGGAAGGAGTCCTGACTGCGGTCCCTTGGAGCCTGAGGTGTCCAGGAATCCTAAAGTGATGGGCTGTGCGTTTCTCTGGGGAGCAGTGTCTGAGCGTTATCCGGTTCCAGAGGGGTTCACCAGGCCCCCCCAAGTGAAGTGTCCGTTGGCCAGTCCTACCTCATGAACTGGCTGAAGGCTTTGTAGTTGGTGAGTGTGTGGTAATCCTCCTCGGAGAACACATGTTCCACATCCTCTAGGCCCCAGGTCAGAAGCAGAGTCGCCGATGACTTCTGTTCTACCTGCTGGGAGAGACCGGGTGTCGTGGGGCTTTTGATGGGCGGCGGGGGGCTTCGGTGAGGCAGGTGCTTCTGCAGCCCCCATCCTGGGCTCCCTACATGCCTCCCTCCCTGCTAGCTACCCACTGTGCTCTCCAGGGCGCCCCCCCCCCATAGCTTCTCCACTGAGCACCCCTCCTCGGCGCGCTCCCTCCCTCCCCAGGCCCTTCCTCCACACTGATGTGTACCCCCCCCGACTCCCTAATTCTACTCACCTTTTGCCCCCCGTCTCCCTCCCCCTTTTTCCGCCGCTTTGTCTTCTTCTCCTTTTTCTCTCTGTGCTTCCGCCTCCGTTTCCGACCTGGTCCAGTTCCATATTCGCTGCCTCCACTCTCTGACTTCTCTCGGTACTCATCTCGCTCGGAGCCAAATTCCTCCTCACTGTCCTAAGGGAGAGAAATAAAAATAACAGTTCTTCAGTCCTACCATGTGCCAGAAACTGTTCTTAGCCCATAACACATATTACCCCTTTTAATCTTCACAACAATTCTCTGGAGGGAGTAACTCGTCTATTTTTACCGGCTTTTTTTTTTTTTTTTTTTTTGCAGATAAGGAAACTGAGGCAGAACTAAACGAACTGCCAAGGAGCCACGGGGCTGCTAGGCTCTGAACGCATGCAGTCTGTGTCCGGAGCCTGCTCTCTCAATGGGGCTTGCTGTCGCTAAGGCGAGTCACGTGGACAGTGGGGGCTCTTTACTCGGTTGTGGTGACTGAGGTTGGGGTCCTAGATCCAGGAGCTACAGGCCAGCCCAGAGGGAGGGAGGGGGCGTCAGACCTCCCTGGCTTCCGGATGCTCCCCACGCTCCACCCTCGATAATCGGGACCGGAGAAAATGCAGGTGCCTGGGAAGAGCTCTGCTGAGCCCTGCCGTGGAGACAGGAGGCCTTAACACTTACAAGCTTCTTGCGTTTTCGGGGTTTTCCTGGCTTGTTCTCCTTCTGCTTCTTGGGTCCTCGTTTTCTCTTCTTCACACCCAGTGCTGAAGGTAGCAGCCGGATGCCATCCTTATCTTTGGAGCAGAGAGCACCAGAGAACCTAAGCCTCTAGGTTCCCAGTCTCTGCGGCTCCTAGACCTCACCCCTCCTCACCTCTTCCCTTCCCACTCTCTAGGAACTCGGGCATTAACTCCTCCAGACCTCGCCTCCCTTCGCTGGGTGCAAACAGAGAGTGTTCCGAGTACTCTGGGACGCTTGGGTTCTGAATGGGAGGTCAGGGGTCAGAAGGGAAGAGCAGCCAAACCACTCCCTCCTCTCCCCTCCTACTAACAAGGGAGCAGGCTCTAGGCCATGGGCTCTGACTGTGGCAGGTCCTTTCAGTCGTCGCCAGGGCTCCTCCTGCCTTCCCCCTCACTTAGCCAGCTGGCATCCTGCCCGGGAACTGGGGAAGCCGTGCCCAGCTGCTGGCCTGGCCTGACCCCAGCACTTGGAGTGGGGAGACACGAACTGGCAGCTCCCTAAGCCAGATGCTGAGAAGGGAGAGCCAAAGGTGGACACCTGGGATCTCACACTAACACCCGGGGCCCTCACATCCTTTCTGCCACGAGGGAGGCCTCTATTTATACTTCCTCAGATGATCGCCAGGCCTCTTGTCACCCCCACACAGTCCTGGAGGAAAAGAAGCCCATGCCAGTCATTTTCACATCTTGCCCACAGGACCACAGCATCTGGCTCGTCCATCACACCCTAACCCTAGGGGAGCAGTCTCCACAATTACCTCAACATTCCTCCTCTTTCCAAGTAGCCTGGAACCTTCCCTCAAATCCATTTCCACATCCCTGTTCCCTTTCAGAACTCGGGGCCCTCCCCTTTGTCCCCTGGTCTCACCCTTCGCCTCCAAATTTAGTCCCATTCATACACAAGCAGCACGGGAGACCCAAACAAAGCTAGCGACAAAGACACACCCAGCACATGCATTCTCAGACGCACAAGCGTGCACACACAGTCCTGAGCACAAATCCAGAGGAC